CAGAATTCACATGATGTTTATGGAAGCATTTCAACTTACTGCTTTATTTATTTCAGCCTGTGAGACTCAGCTGCCGGTATCCTTCCGTCACTTGATCCTACCAGAGAAGTACCCCCCGCCCACTGAGCTGCTGGACCTGCAGCCTCTGCCTGTCACCGCTCTCAGGAACTCTTCCTTTGAGGCTCTCTACCAGAACAAGTTCCCCTTCTTCAACCCCATTCAGACCCAAGGTACAGAACAAGAAACCAAAGTGTCTGCTATTCATCCAAAAGACGTGTCATTCATCAAAGGATAGGTGAATTTCATGTTGCTTACTTGACTCATTTGTTTTGTTCCTGTCCCCACAGTGTTCAATGCTGTGTACAACAGTGACGATAATGTGTTTGTGGGAGCTCCTACTGGCAGTGGGAAGACCATCTGTGCTGAGTTTGCAATTCTGAGGATGCTGCTGCACAATGCAGAAGGTCGCTGTGTCTATATCACACCCATGGAAGCACTGGCTGAACAGGTATGAAGTCACTTGCAAGCAGAAAGTGTACTTATCGCAACTTAGCGTTGCTTACTTTTCCCATCTAACATAATTAATAATCATGTTAATCGTGGTCTTGCAGGTATTTGTCGACTGGCACCAGAAGTTCCAGGACATCCTGAACAAGAAGGTGGTGCTGCTGACGGGGGAGACGAGCACAGATCTGAAGCTCTTGGGAAAAGGTGACATTATCGTCAGTACCCCTGACAAATGGGACATTCTGTCCCGTCGCTGGAAACAGAGGAAGAACGTGCAGAACGTCAGCCTGTTCATTGTGGATGAGGCACACCTCATCGGAGGAGAAAACGGAGTAAGAACACAATCCCGCTTTGTGTTGCGTCTCATTGATATCATGTCGCACACATTGTGTGTGCACTGCATTAGTCATTTGTAGGCAGTGCATTTTGTTAATGTCCCTTGTTTCTTTTCATTAGCCTGTGTTAGAGGTCATCTGCTCCAGGATGAGGTACATCTCCTCTCAGATTGAGCGTCCCATCCGCATCGTGGCCCTCAGCTCATCTTTGTCCAACGCCAAAGATGTGGCCCACTGGCTGGGCTGCAGCACCACAGCCACATTCAACTTCCACCCCAACGTCAGGCCCGTGCCTCTGGAGCTGCACATCCAGGTCTGTGAACAGTGTGCTAGTCAACAAAAACAGGGATTTGTCTAAGCTAGAAGATTCAAATTCATGATTTTCTGTTTTTCTTCTCTGTCCTGTTCAGGGCTTTAATGTGAGTCACACTCAGACTCGCCTGCTGTCTATGGCTAAGCCAGTGTACCACGCCATCATGAAGCACTCTCCCTCCAAACCGGCCGTGGTGTTTGTTCCCTCCCGCAGACAGACTCGCCTCACAGCCATCGACATCCTCACTTTCTGTGCTGCCGATGTGGTTCCTCAGAGGTCAGTCACTGCAGTGAGATTGTGCCTTCAGATGAGGAATGTTGTCGAGGAATGTTGCTACTACATCTCCACACTGGATGAAGAATAAATTTCTCTTTCTCTCCAGGTTCTTGCATTGCACTGAGAAAGACCTTGCACCATTCCTGGAAAAAATAAATGATTCAACTTTGAGAGAGACTCTGGCCAACGGCGTAGGCTACCTGCACGAGGGCCTGTCTGCAACTGAACGCAAAATAGTGGAGCAGCTCTTCAACTCAGGTATGACTCACTCCTGCGCTGCACTCTCAGCTTAGACTGTGTAGGTTTAGAACTGAATAATAATTTTCGGTATCTTTGGTTCCTCTCCTTCCTGTACAGGAGCTGTTCAGGTGGTGGTGTCCTCTCGCTCACTCTGCTGGGGCATCAACATCTCGGCTCACCTCGTCATTGTCATGGACACCCAGTACTACAATGGCAAAATCCATGCGTAAGGCTCCCACTAGTTAAATTTCAAAAGGTGTGTATGTATCTGATGTATTGTGTTAGTGAAATTGTTCCACTGTTTTCCCTCATCCTCTCAGATATGTGGACTATCCCATATATGACGTCCTGCAGATGGTGGGCAAGGCGAACAGACCCATGCTAGATGACGAGGGACGTTGTGTCATCATGTGTCAGGGCTCCAAGAAGGTAGAAGGACCTCTGTTGTTTCTGTCTTTTGAAAACTGTTACTTGGGCTAAAGCAGCGACTCTGCTACAATAAGAACAAACCAAACGGTTCCTTTTTCTTCTCTTGATAGGACTTCTTCAAGAAGTTCCTGTACGAGCCGCTGCCGGTGGAGTCTCACTTGGATCACTGCCTCCATGACCACTTCAACGCTGAGATCGTCACCAAGACAGTGGAGAACAAGCAGGACGCTGTGGACTACCTGACATGGACATTCCTCTACCGCCGTATGACCCAGAACCCCAACTACTACAACCTGCAAGGTGAGTGTCATCTTGTTGGTTTTATATGGCAAAAAAGATTTTTGAATAAAAATAGTTTTGTTTTTACTGGATCAGATGTTGAGAACAATTTCTTACCTCTCCTCTTACCTTGTCAGGCATGTCCCATCGTCACCTGTCAGACCACCTGTCTGAGCTGGTAGAAAACACATTACATGACCTGGAGCAGTCCAAGTGCATCAGCATAGAGGATGAGATGGATGTAGCACCCCTCAATCTGGGCATGATCGCTGCCTACTACTACATCAACTACACCACCATCGGTTTGTTGAGAATCTGTTATCATTGCCTGACTGTCACGGTAATCATAGATCCTTCATGTTGAAATTCAAACATGACTTTGTTGCTCTATTTTTGTGTTTGGCAGAGTTGTTCAGCATGTCCCTGAACGCCAAGACAAAGATCCGTGGCTTGATTGAGATCATTTCTAATGCCGCCGAGTACAAGAACATTCCCATCAGACACCACGAGGACGCTCTTCTGCGACAGGTAAATACAGCAAACTGACAGGACACAAATGTAACTAATAATCTACACAATAATATTAACACATCCATACTTGGTCAGTAAGAAGAAATTTCATTTTGCTGCTTTATTCTTGCTTTTCAGTTGGCACAGAAAGTTCCCCACAAACTGAACAACCCTAAGTTCAACGATCCCCATGTGAAGACGAATCTGCTGCTGCAGGCTCATCTCTCCAGGATGCAGCTGAGTGCTGAGCTGCAGTCGGACACAGAGGAGATCCTGAGCAAGGTACAGATTAGTGATTATCTAGCCACTGAGGAGAACTAAGCCTCAGACAGTCATGTTTCTGGATTCTGATCGCATTATGTATATTAAACGCCCGTGTTTGTTGTGTTTGCAGGCGATCCGTCTGATCCAGGCCTGTGTGGACGTGCTGTCCAGTAACGGCTGGCTGAGTCCTGCACTGGCAGCCATGGAGCTGGCACAGATGGTCACCCAGGCCATGTGGTCCAAGGACTCGTACCTCAAACAGCTGCCCTTCTTCACCTCAGAGCACATCAAGCGCTGCACAGACAAGGTGACAAAGTGTTTTCTTGTTGCACTAAATGCACTTCATAAAATCTGGCTCGTCACGGATCATACGCTTGCTAAAACTGACCATTTTATCCCTGTTCTTCTCATCAGGGTGTGGAGAGTATCTTTGACATCATGGAGATGGAGGATGAAGACAGAACTGCTTTGCTGCAGCTCTCAGACGGTCAGATGGCCGATGTGGCTCGCTTCTGTAACCGCTACCCCAACATCGAGCTGTCGTATGAAGTGGCAGAAAAGGACAACATCAAAAGGTACGAACGATTCTCCCTGTCTGCAGCATTGTTTGAAGAGTTGACTAAATGGATATATAAATAAAGTAATAATGTTGCAAAGGAAGAAATACAGAAGTTAAAACATCCCCTTGACAAAGATATTTTTGGCAAATGTTAATGTGTGTTTCTTCATGTTTCTTCGCAGTGGAAGTCCAGTTCTTGTTCAGGTTCAGCTGGAGAGAGAGGAGGAAGTGACTGGGCCTGTCATCGCTCCTCTCTTCCCCCAGGTAAATCCCATGTGTTTTGGCATTTCCAAGGGCCTCTATAATATATTTTTTTCATTGACATGTAATGGCTTTTTTTGTGAATACTTGTCATTGTTACAGAAACGTGAGGAGGGCTGGTGGGTGGTGATCGGAGACCCCAAATCCAACAGCCTCATCTCTATCAAGAGGTTGACTCTTCAGCAGAAAGCAAAGGTCAGTGAGAGTCTCCCACTTTATACAGTATACTCTGTGGCTTCAAATGCTCTTAAAACTGACATTGTGTGTATGGGTTATGTCCCTCTCTCTGCAGGTCAAGCTGGACTTTGTTGCACCAGTGATGGGCATTCATAACTACACCCTGTACTTCATGAGCGACGCGTACATGGGCTGTGACCAGGAGTACAAGTTCAGCGTGGATGTGAAGGAGGCCGACAGCGACGGAGACAGTGACTCAGACTAATCAGTGACTTGATCATTGCAGCCTCAGAGGTTTTGTTTGATATAAACGATCAGCAGGTGTTTTTTCCTTGTTTTTTACTGTAGATATTCAGCCTGAATCGTGTCCCCTCACTCTGTCTGTAAACACGTCATTATTCATCCTCTATGCTCTGTGAAAATAGCAATGTCATTTTATCCGGTGGTTGTTTCTCAGTTTAAATCATCTGAATGATGTACACCAGTCCAGAATTATAGTGTACAGGGCCTGTTTACAGTTAATATAATCAGACATGTATTACAGATACATGGCAAACTGGAGCCCCAGTCTGGGTTTTGAGTCCATTACACTCTGTACTTGGTGATCTACTGTCAGTTTTCAGGTCTGACTGAAATGTGATAAACACATTTATCAGGCTGGTCTGCTGTGATGAGTTAGTTATGCTACACTCTTCTTCCAGATCAGGAGTTTAAATACAAAAGAAAACTGTCCAGTTATATTTTTCACTAATTGTTTTTATTATGAAAAGTTCTTGGACTGGTCTAAATGTTTTTTAGTATGATGTGCTGTCTGGAATATCTTTTTTTTCAATAAACTGAAGCCACATAATTGTTTTTTAAAATGTTTGTTTTATTTATTTATATAAACATGAATGAATAAATTCCCACTTGAGCTTTTAGAAAGAAATATTTAGACTCAAAGCGCAAGATGCAATGAAGCATGATTATCAGCTTAGAAACAGACATGAAAGGTGACATGTTTAAACACCATATTAAGCAGAATCTTGCTGTGAAAGTTGAATGAGCAATATTGTGGTGACCTCCGGACCACTAAGTTCACAGTGTAACTTGCAGTAACTGTTAGTTCAGTGAGCGACCACACATTCAGTCTTCTTCTTCTTGGAACCTCCAGATGGCAATCTCTCCATTATCGCTGCAGGAGGCCAGCAGTCCCGCCTCCTTTGGGTTCCAGGCGACACAGTTCACGTCCTGGTTGTGAGCCTTGGTCACCTGAGCAGCCAGCGAGAAGACCGGCTGGTCGGGATCAGACGACTCGTCCTCCTTAAACACTCGCACTGAGTCGTCACCGCTGGCAGTTACCAAGGCACCAGTCAGCCGACACCTGAACACATACACATAAAATTCTCAGTCTGATCTAACAAGATGACAAACTCAGATGAAGATCACATTTGACATGAAAATTAAATCATCTTATTGAGCTGGTGATCAGATAACCTGAATGGAGGTTTCATGTAATTCCTTCTTTCACAGAGAATTTACCCCTGGACCAATACTAAGGAAGTCTGTATGTTTACCCCCAAATGTCACATTTCCCTTGACTTTAAAAAGATTCTACCTATAGTCTGGAAAACAAATGTACTGCACTACATAAGAAATGTTGGAGCCGTTACACCACAGGCATGAGAAAACTTGGATGAACGAGCAGACTGATCTGCGATGAGAGTACACTGTACCCGTACAATCTATGAAAATGAGATGTGTCTTACCAGGCGATGTCATACACTGTTCGTCCATGGTACCCAGACAGAGTGCAAACACACTTCCATGACAAGTCTCCTGTTTAACAAAGCACAGCGGAAAACTAAATAGTTTGAGATAAAATAGTTCACCAGCATCTGTCCAATTACCCACGTGTTTGTCGTTTTCAGATACTTTTTATATGCTTTGACAGAAATTTGTATTAAATTTAGGTTTGTATAACAATTTAATTACTAACAAACTTAATAGCAAATGATTTCAGGCATCAAAAATGAGAAACTGACGACAATCAGGCGCAACTAGAGATGTCTGTTATTTTTAGAGGGTTGTCAAAATGGACAAGAAGGTGCTATGATGTATAAGACTGATATTAAATAATGTCCCCGGTGGTAAACAGCTTCTGGGCTCGTTAGCCTTTCAGAGCCAACTATGACCATGGCCTAATGAAGTGCTTTTTGTTGGTAAAATTTTCGTCAGTAATCAAATGAATATGAAATTATGTCAGGTTTAGTCAAAACACATTTTCTTATTGAGACTTTTTTTTTTTTTTAATTATTAATTCTACAGTGAGGCTAATAGTCTCTGCTGCTACCAACTCACCTTGTCCAGCTTCATTTGGATACTCCTTCCAAATCTTCACGGTGCGGTCATCGCTGCAGGAGGCCAGTCTCTGTCCAGTCGCATCAAAAGACAAACTCCAGACTGTGGATGTGTGTCCTTTCAAAGTGGCCCGGCACTCCCAGTCATCATCCTCTTCCCTGTAAATACAAATGTTGTTGTCGTAGCTGGCTGAAGCCATGAGCTGTGAAAACACATGGTAAATACATGGTAAGCATGGTGCAACAAATTGAGGAATCATTCGGGTGCGTGGAGAGCAGAGTGGGACCCACCTCCAGGGTTGGGTGCCACACAACATGCTTGACATCTTGTGTGTGGGAGTTCACAACAGTGACGCACTCATACTCGTCTTCTTCATCCACTGTGAAACACAAAGGGGAAAGAGATAATTTTTATTAACAAACTGGGAGGGACAGGTCAATACATGTGCTGATTTCCTACTATGAATTAGATTCATGCCATGCCTCTATGAGAGTGACACACTGGAGTTCAACACAAACCTTCCCAGACCCAGACACTCTTGTCTCGGCTACATGTTGCTAACAGGTTCCCTGAAGGGGCCCACGCCACACATTTGACCTCGTTTTCATGTCCCTCCAGCACAGTCAAACTCTAGAGGAAAAGGTGAGACAAGGTAAAATCTGCAAAAGCTCCAGAATTTTACAAAGTGAAGATCTAAACATCTCATCTTACCTCAAATCCATCGTTCTTCTTTTTCCAGATGCATGTAGTTGCATCAAAGCTGGCAGAGGCCAGATAATTTCCACAGGGAGACCATGCCACCTTCCTCACAGTGCGCTGGTGTCCGTCCTCAAGCACACTCTTACAAATCCAAGAGTCACCTAAAAAATAAAATAAAAGGTCAGGAAGGTTGTCAGCCATCATGAGGCCTCTCATTCTCTTAATAAACACAGAGGGCAATTTTCAGGTCAGCAAACATAACTGCTTAATGCTTTGTTGCATTAACCAACAGACATTTCTATCTAGTTACTTGATGTAAGGAATTGTTTCTCTGTTGAATTTACAGAAATTGTAATATATCATGATATATAATTACACACCTAACCTGTGCCTGTTGTAACAAGTTATTTACCATTTTAACCTACAGACCCCAAATATCAAGTTGTGCTTTAAAAGCAACCCCCCTATATAAAACACAAATGTATCCAAACTTTTCTATTTTTTTGTTTTTTTACTTCTGACTACTCATACATTAGATATTACAAACGGGGAATGAAGGTGAAGATTATTTTCTATGATTGCAAGTGTTTTCACTAGTTTGACTTCGTAAGAAAAAGAAGCATCACAGGAACATAAAACATCATAACCACTGACTTTTGGGATCACACGTCGGCACATCCTGTCAAACTCTGCTGTAGTGTTATGCAGTATAATGTTATCTGACCTTTATTCAGTCAGTGTAGCATCATGTTTTGCTCATTCAGTTAATGCTGATGGCAGCTCACCCTCTCGTCCCCATATCCGGATGGCCTTATCGCCCCCGCATGAAGCCAGCAGCGTCCCAGACGGGCTCCAACTGACGAACCAGCACCGGGAGTCCGGGTGTGCGTTCAGTCTCTGAACCAGGGACAGAGCCTCCTTCATTTCTGGGCTGGTGAAATCTTTAATGTCTCCTGATCCTGTCCGTTACAGCTGACAGTTAACTGACGCCAGATAAACGCGTCAGAAACACCGCGACGCGCTGTAACACCCCGAACAAACAAGCAGCGCTGCTGTACCCAAACAACAGTCACCGATCAGATTCAAGAGGAGTTGGGGGAAAAGTGAGAATGTATTCGCAACGATTAGCACCAGAGAACAAAGTACAAAAGTTCATAAAAACAGGCACATCGGAAATGCCGCCATCTTTGATTACAAGATGCTTCACGCGAAGCATCATGGGTTATTTTTCTTTTTTTTTCTTGTCACAAACGTGAAGAAAAACTAAAACATAACTTGCACCAAATGGACAATTATTTCTTTCAGAATTAAACATTAAAAAAATCAGTTATTACTGATTAGCTGAGTCGCCACAGAACATTTAGTTATTGTCTTAAAGGCCATTCTTATTGAATTTATTGATTTCTTTATCATATTTTGAGCCTGCATAATTACTTATCGTGCCTCGGTTTATAATATATGACTTTGTAGCTTGTTCTTTGTCTTTGACTTAATATAGCTATTTACGGCTTTACACACCAGGTACCTTCCAACTTCATGTTTTATGTGGCTCATAAAATAAAAATAATATATATTGCAATAAAAAATAATGGCGTTAACAATGTAATGCAGAGAAGCATGTTTACTGTTGTTGTGTGTTTGGAGGAGTCACCAGTAGGTGGGAGCACTGATCGCTACTCTCGTTTAGGTTGCAGTGTATTGAAGCCACGAAGAAGAATGGTGTGAACAAGGAAGTCGATATTTTACAGGAAGCCAGCGTAAGCTGCTTTTGTTTTGTTTTCTCTTTGTTTTTCTGTACCAAATCGATGGTCGTTTTTCATCAGCGTAGGTAGTAAAGTAGTTAGTATGTTGTAGTTTATTTAATTTGTCTCTATTAAGTTTATTTTTGTATGACAATCGGTGACATTTGGCGTTAGCCGTGAGCTACCCTCAGATCCCAACAACAGAGCTAACAGGCCTGAAGGCCATCTGTCTATTGTGTTTCCGTCAGTCAGATACTTAACCTGTTTTTATCAAGGACGTAGTTGTAAGGTTACACATCGTTTAGAAACATAAGATATCACAGTGAACAAAGCGACCGGACTGCTGTCATTCGTTCATCGCCCTGGTAACGTTAGCTCTGCGGGCTAACTGGTTATATTGTGGTTAGTCAGTCGACTGACCTCAACGTTACCATCGGAGCGTTTAGTGCAGTCACATTACCGACAGTAAGGGGACAACAGCACTAAACACACAATAAGGAGATTGGATGACCATGTACGCCCCACCGGGTTCTACTGTTCCTGGAGGCCGGAGGAGGAGAGGAGGCACCTCCCTGCCCAAGCAGCCGGAGCGGAGCCTGGTCTCGGCTCTTCCCGGAGCTCTGTCCATCACAGCGCTGTGCACCGCTCTGGCGGAACCGGCCTGGCTCCGGGTTCATGGAGGCACCTGTCCTAGACAAGAGCTGGGGGTGGCAGATGTCTTGGGGTACATTGACCCCAAGCTTCTCGATGGTGAGGACCAGCACATACTTGTTAAAACCAACAGCAGAGATTAATCTGGTATAGCTCACTTGTAATGCTTTGTGATGTCTCTGTGTCCTCCAGATTACTGTGTGAACCCGCAGACCATCTTGCTGCTGAGGGTGATCGCTGCCTTCTGCTTCCTGGGCATCCTGTGCAGCCTGACTGCTTTCCTCTTGGATGTGTTTGGACCCAAACACCCAGCGCTAAAGATCACACGCAGATATGCATTTGCACATATTCTCACAGGTATTAATCTGTCATACTACAGTTGTTTTCAGGTTCTTTAAGAAAAGACAATTTGTCATTTGTGACTACTTAATGTTTGTTTCTCTGTCTCTCATCAGTGTTGCAGTGTGCCACAGTGATAGGCTTCTGCTACTGGGCCTCGGAGCTCATCTTATCACTACAGCAGCAACATAAAAAGTACCACGGCTCTCTGATATACGTCACTTTCGCCATCAGCTTTTACCTGGTGGCCGGGGCAGGTGGAGCCTCTATCCTTGCGACAGCTGCAAATCTCCTGCGCCACTACCCCACCGAGGAGGAGGAGCAGGCTTTAGAGCTGCTCTCGGAGATGGAGGACAGCAGTGAAACTTTTCCTGCTGATTATGACATTGCCAATCAGTTTCAGCCACCGCCTGCATACACGCCCTAATGCCGCCAGACTGGCCCTGCTAACACACGCTTCTCTCTCAGCACGGCTATTGGCTTGATGAGCAAATCCCACTCTTTATCAAATGGATATCTTTGCAAATACTCTCTGTAATGAACACAGTGTGTGCACAGTTAGTGCACAGACTCCTTGACTGACAGTGCTTGGGTGCATGAAAGCTTTCTTTAGTGGTGGCAGAAATTTAGGGGATGATTCTTTCTTTCGCCACTGAAGTTGTTCGTAATTTGCATGTAAATGGCTTTTAGGATTTGGTCCTTACATGTAAAACAAACTCAACTGCAAGGAGTGCTCAACATGGCTCATCACAAGTAATTGATGAAACAGCCACAGTCTGATCAATGCCATTTAATGAAGCTGAGCTGTCGGCAGATTGTCAGCGGTTGTGTTGCTCTTCGTTGGACGTGGATGGGGCTTTGTTAAGCATCGTTTTGATTTAATTTTTGATATGCTTGCCATGTGTATGATTTTATTTTACTGATACATCAAAAATGCAGAAATACACTGAGAAGATTGTTTTAGACGTTTTCTTTTATATGAAATATCAAATGGACCTTATTTATTATTTAGTTATATGTGCCGTGTCCTATTTCCTTCCTTTTGCTTTGTAGACATCTGTCACTGGTTTAGTCTTATTTATTCACATCTGTACTTGAAATAATACTAGGAAATTGTCAAAAAAAATGTGAGACAGGTCTTTGTGGTGTTATTTTTTTTTTTTTTAAAAAAAGGATCATGGCATGTGTTGTATTTTTTTAGAGCTAGCAGCCATGGAGAAATGGAGAAACATTTTTGTATGTTTCACAAGAAGGGTTACAATTAGTAACAGAAATTTCACCACATAAGTCGGTCATGTCATGTTTCCTGGATTTAATTTCAAAAAGAAACCCTATTTGTGTTTTGTGATTGCCATATGTGACAGTTTCATGTGTTTGCTGTGCATGAGGTCTTTTGTGTGCAAATTTTAAACCTCTTGGCAGAATTGTGTGAACATCACATGTAAGTTGCCAGTTGAGGCTTAAAATTGTGATTGATGTGGTGATCCTAGTTGGTTGTATATTGTTCTGTTCACACCATTTTCTGCATTTTGTTCCTCAAAACCGTTGCTATACTTTCATCACCAGTGTGTAAATATTGATCGTTTATACATAAAAAAAAAAAAAAAAAGTGGTCATAATAAAGTAAATGCCATATTTTGCCTCACGTTTGTCATCTGTAACTCGACACTGAATCTTCCACCAAGTGCAGCCTGTAGGTTGGAGCTGTGGTTTGGATTTAATGGAATATTGACTTTGACATTTCCGTCTGACCGAGGTATTTCTGGGTTTACCGTCTAGACGTTGTAGACGCAACTTGGCATTACAGTGAGTAAGAGCCTTACTACCTAATAGACTTTAAAGGGCATACAGTATGCTTTGTACTGTATAAAGGCATTGTATATACTGTATTGTAAGAAGCATTTTCAATAACTGCACACAGATGCAGAGTGTTGTGGGAAAGTCATCAATATTATTATAATTATTAGCAATCTGCCCTGACATGTAAAACTATAGTTTTAAAGACATTTTTTTTTTTGCATTGTTTCTGCAGCTTTCTCCACTCAGATACTACGTCAAGAGTTGAAAGCTAAATGGGTCAAGATATTTCATGGGTAAAAGCACTACATGTTTATCTTACTCTCCAAAGCTAAAGTGCCATTATGTGGCCAAATAACTTAAGTTAATCAGATGAATAAACAAGGTATTAATAGGGAAGGGTGTTCATGAGGTGAATAGGTCAGTCAAGGCTTCTGAGAAAATAGAGCTTACAGGGAAACGTCACTTGGCCACACTCTAGTGGTATATATACAGACAGCCACAGCAGAATAAATACTACAACCATCTAAAGTCTTTACGGGCTCGGTGGCAAACTGTTGAGTCATATTTTCCTCCTAACACAGTGAGACTTAATCTAAACCATGCTGGCAACCAGGACTTTGCTGTCCAAACAAACACTGGCTGTTCTCTCTCGCCAGCCTGCCTGCTTTGTTCACCACGGTGACTATGGCAATTGGGGAAATACCAATGTTGCAGTGGTAAGTGAAAGAAATCAACAAAGCATCAGGCAACAAAAAGGTAGGCAAAATTCTAGTCTGGGCATTATTGTGATTTGTGAATCACAATGTGTTCCAGGTTTTCTCAGGATGTGGCTGGTGGGATGGGACTGATGTCCATGAGGGAGTCTAGTGAGTATGAGTCAGGACAGGAATATTGCATTAACATATCGCCGTGCAGAGATGGTAACTCACATCTCTTGTCTTCAGCACCATGTACCACCTCAGCCGTAATGGTGCTCGCTTCCAGATGTTTTCTCCAAATCAACAGCAGATGCATGTGATGGACCACATGAGAAAGCAACCTGGCTCTGGCGAGAACCGGTAGGCTTGTTAGGAAACACTGATGGATCTGGGTCCCAGAAGGGTCCAGTGACTTATGTGAGTTTGTATGTTACTCATCTGAATTGACTAATTTCACAAGGTAGTATTTATGATTATTTCTGGCCATTACACAGGAACATGATGACGGAGTCAGCTCGTTTCAGTCATGGTCAGGGAATGATGCAAATGCAGGACCTGGCCAAGTTGGATGTCAACAGCTTCGATGCTGTCATCTTTCCTGGAGGCCATGGTATCACCAAGAATCTGTGAGGATGAATTAGATGCGAAGTAATCGCTGTGAGGATATGGAGTGTAAAATAGAGTAAAACGAGATAGAATACAAGCTGGCATGGTGAAGATGGAACACTAATAGTCGAATATAACTCTCAACTCTTTAGATCCTCTTTTGTGAAGGATGGCAAAGACTGCAAACTGCATAATGATGTGGAAAGGGTGCTTAAAGACTTCCACCGTTCACGCAAGCCTATTGGGTATGTATCACCTAGTCACTCTTAATCTATCAGTGCTGAGGGAGCAATACTGTAAATCACTATTTATGTGTGATGAGTAGATTCAAATAGCAGGGGAGCATTCTTTTATTTTTGATAACAAATTTTGGGCAACACAGTCACTTAAAATTAACATTTTAAATCTGAACATGAGGCAAAATTGCAGACTGTCATTGACTGGTACCATACTTTAAATCAGATTAAATTAGATCACATTAGACTAGATAAACACCAGATTTAAACAATCCCTATAATTGAATTGGGACATTGGAGCAGCTGTAGAAAGGAAAAAGTGAGAATACAGATTGAATACTTAGCTTTTATGGATGGAAAAAAATAGAACATCAAAATTTAAATTTTCCAGAATGTAAATTGGCTGTAAATTAAAAAAAAAATATATATATAAATATAGATAAAAGAAACTCTTATTACCATTGCATTAGAATTTAAACTGTGATATCATCTGAATTTTATTTGGTTTCACATGGTCAGTATGGTGTTTCCTAGACACTACATTTTACTTTTACCACATATACCACCACTAAAAATTATTATTCCAACACCTATGGCATAAACAAAGGTGTGAAGCAACTCAGTGCCGTTTTGCTTACACATGTGCATTTGTGTTTCATGATAGTAAAACTATATATTCACAAAAATATATATTTTTTAAATCTAAAATATAGAAATGTGATAAAAAAAATCTGCATTAAATAACTGAACTTGAAAGACTTTGGTTTCAGAAAGTGTGTAAAAAACAACGTATTTGAAAAGTCGCCACATTGTCACAGACTGCACCAAATTTAAACTTCAGCAGAACCTTTGCTTACACTGTCAACAGAAATCATTAGAGTTTTTAACATTTATATTTCTTAAAAATGCTCTGCAGATCAGAAATAGCTCACTCTGATTTTTTCAAAGCATACTGTGGCCATACTGTGTCTGTATGTTGTGGTCATACAGCTACTCGATGCATTAACTAACTGTATCTGTGGCCTGTTTACTGAAAAATCATAGGGGAGACACATTAATGGAATAGAAAAACTAAACAGCCTTTACTCCCCATGTTTGTGGGACATGTAGAATACACAGATGACTATTTGACTGGTTTATGATTTAGTTTGTCACTGTAACAGCCAAATATCACTCTCTTTTTTCACTCTTTCTATCATTCTTCATGCGTACTAGTATCATCTGTCAGTGATCAGAGCAGACACAGCAGGAAGAGCAGGTGCAGTGAAATCACTCTTTACCCTCTGAAGAGGACAGTGCAGGTAACGGCGCGACAAGGAGGCAGTGAGACCAGGCAAACTAATCCACAGGGTTAAAGCAGGCAGGACAGAATGAAGGCAACATATAGTATGTGATCTGACTGATCCTTTAGGCTGCCACACTGGCACAGGGGGACTGATGGGGTGATGAGGTGCAGCTGTGCAGACAGGTGACAGGGTCAGGAGAGAGGACACCTGGTGGCCAGATGTAGAATGGAAGGTCTGAGATGACAGTAGTTGCATGATTACAGGAATTAAAGAGTGGAGTTGGAAGTTGAGGAGGAACAAGAAGAGGATGAAGCAGCTTTCACCATGACAACAGAGGTTTATTTGACTTAGAGCCAGCTAGTGTAATCCTTTCCTATTGCCATTTATCCCTGTAAAGAGTTTAAGAAAATAAAGATTATTTGATCAAAAATGAAAATACAATGTAAAAATGATTAAGAGCAATGACAATTATCAAACATGTGCAAAATGGATGTTGCTGTGCAATGTAGGAGTCAGAATTATCACTGGGTTTCACATGTTGCTGCAGCAGACAGATGCCGCACTGCTTTCAGATACACCCAGTTCCATTGTTCTGTTTTGTCAGAGCTGTAATTGCTGTCTTGTTAAAGTGATCTGTCGACAAAACAAGCAGCGTATAAATTTAGAACCACATCATCTCTCAAAGCAGTAATTTAGCCCTTGGTGACAAACCTTAAGACAGCCCCTCTGCAGCCCCCGCCACAGTGCAAACTGTTCCTCTGTTCATGTGTGTCCTCAGATTTCATCAGTGTTTCACTACTGTTTGATTTAGGAGAATAAAAGACAAGATGTGAATCAATTGGTTACACCCTTACCTAGGAACTGGTTGTTGTTGGGTTTTTTTTACAATTTATTTGAAAACAAGCATGGAGTAAATGTGCTATACTTCCTGAGCTTCAATGAAGCAATCCTGTTAGTTCATAAGGCATTACTACAGTGAGCTGTGGTTTTACATTGCCTTGAAAGTCTTGGTTAATTCCATATACAAGCATCTTATAAACTTGATGACTCAACTTTTAAATGCACCAGTCTCACAGTCCTGGTACACTTGAACAAAACAGAGCCATTTTTAATGTTATTAGTAACACCTGTGTTTTTCCTACAATGAAAAAGGTGTAAATTTAAACAGCTGTTTCAACTGCCCAGCAAAATGTACACCATTCCCTTATGTAGACTACATAGTGCAGCAGATAAGCATGTATATGAAAGGTATTGTGCATTTTATGACTAAAGCATGAAACTTTCTCCACTGCTTCTATTAACCATTACGTTTATTTTCAGACATGGAGGCATTTCAGATATGACCCCCAGGACGGGGCAGAAACCCCTGGAGCAATGAATGTAGTCCAGACCAAACTAGCATGCTAGCTTAGAGTGTTCACTAATGTACCAGCTAGTCATGTGATTCCATACAACACACTGAAGTTGTCAGTGTTTTTAACAAGCTATAGCTACCTTAAAACCCTGGAAATGATGGGCTCTGCAGTCCCCCTGCAAAATTGGTGCTCTAAGCAAAATTATGTCACATGGCCATAGCAGCAAATACGCATGTTTATGCAATTTTGGCAAAGATGATTATAATGGAGAAATGGGGCAAAAACTGGAGAAATGCAATGCTGAGGTCAATGACCTCTCAGCGTCACCGGAGGTCAGATACAAATCGCCTTCACGTCTGAAATAAAACCTTGGGATATGTAGATTATATGATGAAACTTTTATGCTTTAGTCATAAAATGCACAATTGTCAATTTGCCCCACTAATCTGCCCCACTAACAAGATGTGACTGGACTGTACTGCTGAAGTCTCCAATAAATAAGTATAAGCATAAAATAGCACCTGTATTTCTTTAAAGGCACAGCACACCCACACAGGTGTTTCCACTTCGGCTGATTACATCTACGCTCAGGTTCATGCTGGGGGAGGAGCGATGCTGACAATGATCTGAGGTCACCAAACTACATATCTTTGCCGCTTGCCCCTCCCCTCTCATTCTATTTCTGTGTTTCTGGTTTGTTTTTACTGTCAAGTATCCAATGAAAATAACTGGAGCGTGATAGTGATATGAGCACACACCCACACAGGTCTGAGAGAAGGTCCAATCATGTCCAGGAAGGGAGAACTCCTGTGTGGGTGGACCATACTGTGGGTGTGTGCACGGGGGTTTTAAATAACGTGCTGTTACATCAGATGTGGTCTAAGACTGCTGTTTAAAATGTGGAAAAGGGATTAAAGTTAATTAAGTTCCTGTTGGCATCAACTCCAGGTTCCTTTGTCATTGAAACAGAAGTCATGTCAGGTAGCAAGGACAACTACTGACTTAAACTACACTGAAAATTCAGTTTAATGCTGCTAATCCCACTAAAACTGCACAAACTAGTGTGTTTTCGTTCTCCCTTGGTTTTATTTATTGGCAAATGGTGATGATAAACAGCTGACAGTCTGTATTCTTGTCTCATTCAGCAATAGTAGTTTGCTAAGTGAGACACTGAGCTTCACACTGCTTTCCCAGTGCTCTGTGCTGGGAGAGCTTTTCTTTCTCAGGCTTTGACTCCCTCCTGTTTGATACTGTTAAGGCAATTACTCTCACACCCTGATCAGTCTTAATCTTGACTTAATAAAAACCTCACAACACTTGTCTGCTCCTGTTTTCAGACTGGCCAGCATGGCTCCTATGCTGGCCTGCCGTGTGCTGCCCGGCATCGAGGTGACCATGGGCTATGAGCGGGACGACAACACTCGCTGGGGGAACTGGCCTCATACAACCATAGTGCAGGCCATAAAGAGCATGGGCGCACGCCACAATGTCCGCGAGCCATATATATCCTTTCAAAAATCTCTATTTAATATGTGCATTGGTTAACAAAATCTACTAATATTTGTGTTCATGTTGTCGTTATTTTTCTTCCGTATTACTTCCTGCTTTGACCTTAACCTTTTCCTGCACGAAGCCTATGTGGATGAGAAGAACAAAGTGGTCAGCACCCCCACCTTCATGTGGGAAACAGAGTATCACTATCACTATATTTTTGATGGTATTGGAAATATGGTCAAACATGTCATGCGTATGTCAACCAAGTGAGCTGAGACAATGAGCCAGAAAAAGCAATATAGGAAGTTGGTGTTGATACACAACATACATGTCTGTATTGTGATGAATTCTTACCTGAAACAATATAAATGCTTTAGTTAAAGAGCAGTTGGCTTGTTGTGTGTAATTGATGGTATTGGGTTATATGGATAAACACGCCACATGTATAGTAGGTGAGCCACATGTATGAGTCCAGGTAACATCGACAGAGAGCAGATCTGCACTTATGGGTCATTATCTATTCACTTTGACCCATGTTTGGAACTGGAGACATAATTTCTTAATCATGACAGGCAGGGGGGAGTTCATTGTCCTCACAGTGACACTTCTGTGTAACAGTCAACGTGATCAAAGCTGAAGGCTGACCTTGTAAACAAAAGGGTCAGTACTTTAATGACAATTGCTTCTAATCTTTTGTCAGTTTTACGTAATATTACAGATTTGGGATCAAGACAAAAACACCAAAACAGTACATTACAAAATCTACAAACATACGACGAACAAACCAATTATGTGTCTTTTGGACTAAACCACTGAATCCTACACTATGTTTTGAGTGCACACATACGGTTCTCCCTATTTTCATTCTCTTAATATCACTGACTAAAACTACATGAAAACTATCAGATGTTGACTCTCTCATCCAAATCCTTGAAATAAAAAGTAATGTCATGGACAGTTTCTGGCAATGTTGTGCAATGTTTCCTTGTCACATCCTTCTGCATCCTGCAGTAAGATGGCTCATTTCTCCCCTAGGATAACTCAGTATCAAACAGTATGCCAAAACACAGGAGGTAATTTAAGGATGAAAATAGCACAGTGACTCTGTCAACAACTCAGTCAGTTGGTCCACTACTTCAGTCCAGGATGATATATTTAATAATCTTATATATATTATATATAATAATATATAATTAGACATTCATGGTCCCCAGAGGATTTATCAAATGATCCCCAGACTTTTACTCTACCATCACTAAGGGATTGATATTTTTGGCTTTTAGTGAAATGTCTCAGCGACTACTGGATGGATTATCATGAAATCTGGCACAGATGTTCATGTTCCCCTTAAGATGAACTTTAATCGCTTTGATTATTCTTTGACTTTTCATGTAGCCTCAACTTCAGGTCAAATCCCCATCAGCCTCAGCTGTACTAGTACTACAGCAGCTGTAGATGGTGAACATTGCACCTGCTAAACATTACAATGTCAGCATTGGCGCTTCAAGTGTGCTCACATTAGTATATAGCTCAGAGCAATTCTATATTTAAGGCCTTACAGAGCTGCAAGCGTGACTGTAGATTCTTACTTTCTTAGTTTTAGGACTTTTTACAGTGTGTATGGATTTCCAAAGCAAGTTCATGAGGAGAATTTAAGAACTGGAGCGCAAAAAGGAAGAGACCTTTTAAGCCTGCTTCTTTATGTGGCTAACACAAAATATGTGATTGCTATACTGACACAACCATGTACACTGAATATGGATAAAATGGTTTCACTGGTGAGAACCACACCACACAAGTGTGTGATTGAAAGTTAATATGAGAGAAGTATCTCCAGTGTTGTGCCAGCCAACCCTAGCTGGTACCTGGATAGGTGAGAGTGGTATGCACAGGTTTCACTGAGAGAAGAAGAAAGGAGGGATAAGAGAATAAATGAGTGTGAATAGGAATTGGCAAAGGAAGGGATGAGAGGATGGATTAACCAGGTATAGGTCGGCTTGACGGATTATCACAGGTGTAGCTGTGCTCTGGAAATGAAGTTAATGAGTTGACATGATCAAGTTAAAGAGTGAGAGTAAACGAAGTTCATTGTCACATGCTGTCCCTCAAAGCACTAAAAAGAAGCAACGCTCACTCTTTCTGGTACATTAAGAATAAAACAATTTATTCATTACAAACATATAAAAATGACAAAAACAAGCAGGTGGCAAGATATAAAAATTTCCAGTTTGTACAAAACTTCCAAACCCATCATCAGAAATGCATACTCACTCCATATGAAGAATTTCATCTGGATTATAATTAAATCTAAAACGAACGCTGAATCTCTCCAAAGTATAGCTACAAAGATATCCTTTAAATCTGTTTGTCAGGTGATGTACAAAAACAGCTTTTGTCATTTTTCAGTAAAAAACAAAAAAAAAAAAACAGGTTAATGGGCACAAAATTCATAACAGACTTGTAATTCCAATACAAAATCAGAAGTCAATGGAATATTCACAGTGTTGCCTTCACATCCGTGATGTGAATTGTAAACATTGTTGCATATTGTAACTCACCTCAGTAAATATACAGAAATATTTATCATGAGCAAAACTTATGTCAAGAAAACGTTCAATCATTTTTAATCCTCTGATCAGTTTTGTCTGATGAGTGTGTCGGCTCAACCCTTCCAGTGTCAATCAACTAATATACTCCCAACAAAATATATAAGGCAAAATTTGTTTCCCCTGTTTTACAGTATCTCTTATTTAATCACAGAGGAACGTTTGACAGATTCAGGTTAAGTAAAGTAGCATTTTTTCATCTGATGAAATGATGAAAAGGAATATACAACAGCAGGGTCCATTTACATTAAGGTACATATAAACATTTGTACAATTTGAACAGATAGTAGGAGGTTATATGAATAAAGTCTCCACGGGGGAACATTACTGTAGCAGATAACATGTAGGAAACATGAAATGAATTCAGGGAACCAGCAGGTAAATCACAGTGGCAAATAAACAAATTTTTCTCTTAAATACAGAAAAGTATTGTTTGGAGTTTCAGTATAAAAGTTAGGGAGCATGAACTGATAAGCGCTTTTGTATCAAAGTACAACAGTCAGAGCTGTCTAATCATGTGATCTTTAATTACTATTAGTTCAGTACTTTTTGTCATGCTCAGAGGGAGATGGTGGTGAAAATGCTGTGAGCACTGTTTGATTGGGAACACAGACAAACAGATGCTATCTTGGACAGAGACTTACATAATTGTCATTAGCATCCCTTTATTATTAAAGGGAAGTGTTTGCAATAGAAATGAATTTGAAATACAGCCTTCATTGTGTAGCATACAGCATGCTGCTGCTTTTACAAGCGGGTCTTTCTAAAGTCTCTACAGTAAACCTGTCTTAGTCAAGGGTAAGCATTTCATTTCTCAAAGGAGCCCTGCGTTCCTGATTGTCATGGTTTAAACAAAACAAAATCCCCAAACGAAGTTCAACGAACTTCTTATAAAAATAAATAATCCCTTCTCAGCTTCATTATGCAAAGCACAGTGGAATGAATATGTCATTTGATAACAACTGAGGAGTTGCAGTCTCTATAAATTGCTTGACTTTAGTCTGCCGTAACAGAGGATAAAAACTTTAAACAATGAGTTCTTTCACATAACAAAGCTCCAGCGAGGTGTGACAGTGTCCAGGACCACAGTGCTGTCGTCTGTTCATTAAAACTGCTATTTGGTGTCTGTATTTGATATACCTGTGAAAGATAAAGAGCAGAGCAGCATTAGAGAACAGTCCTTAAAAGGGACAAGGTTAAAACACGTTAACTATAAATTGAGCAGCATAGGTTTGGGCATGCGGAAATTCACTGCAGATGGATGATACAGTATCAGGCAAGAAAAGGATGCAGGCAGGCGAGCAGTGACAGGTGGAAAAAAAAGGAAAGAGGTGAGAGGGCAGGCAGAATAACGGACCGAGTTACGCTGCTAGAGCAGTGCGGAGTTGGAGTCAGAATCTGAATCGTGGCCAGGGGTGAGACAGGGCTCACGGTAACAGATCGATTCCTGAGCCCGCTGGTACTCTTGGTACTCCTGGCGGAGAGCGTTGAAGCGCGCCTCACTTAGGGAGTGGCTGAACTGGCAGCGAGGTGGGTTGGAAACTGGCGGGCTGACTGAGGGAGATGGGCCTGGGGAGGGCATCAGGGAGAGGAAATGCATGGATGGGCATGTCATGGGACAAGCTCACAATAATCACAGTACAAGGGCACAGGAGGACGAACACATGCAGCACCATCACATCAAGCATTACACTCACAATGAAGCATGCATCATCAAAAACATCACACCCATGAGAAAGTAAAAAAAAAGATCACCTTTCTGTTGCTGGTCCTGGAGGCCACTAGCTTGATCATATCTGAGCTCCCCCCTCCCTCTCCGGAAGCCCATTTGTGATTGATCAAACCTCATGGCATCCAGGACCTCCGAGTCCACACAGGCATCAGCAGAGTCCCACTCATAACTCTCATCTACTGATGTGTTCCTTCTAATGACATACACAAAACAAGTGGTCAGATAACAGTCATCACAAAGAAGAAACAAAAACAACTAATGTTATTTTGGCAACATAAATAAATCCCTCTGCAAAGAAGACACTCCAGTGTGTTGGTTGTTATTGTCCAAGTGTGGTGGTGTTTCACCTTTTCGCTCTCCTCTCAGGCAGCTCCATCTCAGCTCTGTGCTGCTCGCTCTCTTCTGTGGTTTCGGGGGAGCTGAGTAGTGTGGGAGTGATGGACAGGGAGTGTCGGAAGAGACCAGCGCTACCCCTACCACTGCTCTGACTGGCATAACTGGCCCTCCCTCCCTCCCTAATCTCTCTGACCTCTCGGATATCAGTCTCCCCTCCTCTCCCCATCATCCTGTCTGGCTGTCTGTAACTCTCTCCCTCCCTAGGTGGGAAAGGGGCGTAATAAGGGGAGGGCCAGCTAATGCCCCTGGGCAGGTAGGACCTTGGAGGGCCCCTCCTAGGGTCCATGGGTCTCATGCTTTCGCCTCTGGAACCTGGCCAGTGTTGGTGCTGGGGCACAGGAATGGAGGAGGGCATGGGAATATATTTATGCTGGGCAGATCTCAGAGTTTCGTGATAAGAGGGAGACCACCTGGACGACTCGGGGAAAACAGTGGCTTGCCGTCGTGGATCGGAGGGTTCCAGCATTGGGGAGACTGAGGTTTGTCTGGGTGGGTACATACAAGGAGTGAGGTAGGAAGGGCTAGCTAAAGATCTTTGTACGTGATGAGGCCTCTCTAAGCTCCCCATGCTGGGGCGTCTCAATGGGACATACTCCCTCCAAGAGGGGCCTGGCCTGGGATGGGAAGATGGAGTGCGGCCCAAACTGTACGACTTCACCCTGCCATCTGGGTTTGGGAACTCGTCCCAGTAACACTTCTCAGAAATATATGTCCTTGGGCTCTCAAAGTGCTCCCACCTCTGTGAGCCTAAACTGATGGATTTCTTTAGGAAAGGACGAGGCTGTCCCATGCCTGAGAGCGTCCTACAAGGACCTATACTTAAGGATTTCTTCAGAAATGGCACAGGGGCTTGACAGATCCGGGACGCAATGTTATTAGTCCTGCTGCCCTGAGAGGGCTGTCTTTGACATTGCTCTGATAAAGACTCACTACAGTCTACAAAACTTTGGGAATGTTTGGACACTATATCTGCCATGCCTCTAGCTGCACTGAACAAGGTGTGAGCTGACCTGGACACAAGTCTAGATCCAGGTCTGTCTGTGCTTTTATTCCCCACTCGAATTTGTGTTTTCTCATTATAGAGCTGCTTGCAAGTTTTCTCTGGACCAGGAGATGATGGTCTTGGCTCATCTGGAAATCTTACTCTATGTGAAGACTGTCTAGCTTCCGCATTGAGCGAGCGTTTAAAGCCTTGTCTTCTACTAGCATCAAAGCTAGGCTCTGCAGCACCCACAGAATGACTCTGTTCAAAGAAAACTTCCTTTTGGTTTGAGTCTGTTTCCCGGTTTTCTTGAACATGAACCTCCCAGTTTTTAGGAACTACATCAGGCTTGGCCACCAGAGATTTTTCTGACTTTAGTTCTGAACTTTGTCCAGCAGCATCTGTGACTTCAGCTTCTTCCACAGGCTCATCCACACTCATTTCAATGAAACCTGGAAGACTCAAGTATTCAAGAATTGCACTTGTCTGCAGTGGGGACATTTTGGGAGACGGGGCTGCAGGCTTGGCCTTGAAAGACTCTGACATTCTGGGCACAGAAAATTGGGACTGGTCACTTTCGACCTCTTCTACAAGAGTCAGTGTTGAAATAGGGCTGGGACTATCAGAGAAAAGACATTTGTCACTCCTCCTCGAGCGTGTTCGGACACCCTCTCTTTCTAACTCAGAGTAAAACCCTGAACTCCGGCGGCCGTCCCGACTCTGAGTCTCTCTGTCTTTGGCCTTTGCCCCTACGTCATGATGTTCATAGGGTAAGGTAGAATAACTTGAGGGACTTGGATCCCTTGTGGCTGTGTAGTCTGCAGTCCTCTCAGGCTGATTATATGGTGCAGAAGCTGAACTTTCAGGCCTCTCACGGTCGACAGAAGGACATCTGGCAGCTGAATCCCAGGGCTGAGTGCCTGCATAAGCATATGAGTGTCTGGACCTTGAAGCAACACCTCTGTCCTGTGTCATTCCCCTCAAGCCCTGCTCAGTTAAAGACTTCCTGCATATATCTGGCTCTCTCTGAGGACTCAATGACCTGGCTCTGTCTGGTGTTTCTAAACACAGAACAGGTGGGCTTTTTGGGGTGATGTCAGGGGAAAACATGGGGAGGGAGGTGTTCTGGGTGACCGGAGACCGTGATGAATCAACAGCAAGAGAGTCCTCTGAGGTTCCCCTGCATGTGCGAGGACGCTGCGACCTGGGCAATGTGGTCTCCCCAGGGGTCTGTACAGGAATGAGGCTGGTGACAGAGCTAACAGGGCTAATGTCCCACTGTATGCGAGACATAGGGAGCCGGTCCATGGGACTGCTGGTGTTGCCAAAGTAGCACGCCCTCCTATAATCAGATACCCGACTTGTCTGACCTGAAGGCCTGTGTTTCTGTCTGATAGTAACATCTTGTGGCTTCCATACTGGCTCTTCTTCTGACTTGTCTGCATCCCTTTGAGGTTTCTCTGTTGTTTTAGACTGTCGCTTATCTCCTCCACAACCACGGCTTCTTTGATCAGCTGTATAGCTCTCTAGCTCCCTCTCCATTTCTTCCCTCTCCTTTGCCAGTTGGACACACTTGTTAATGCTATCCCTCTCCAGCTCACTGTCTAGTTGTGAGACCAGGGTGCTGTTATTAGTCAGGTGACTTTCCATAGGCTGATAGCCTGAATGGTGAGGTCTGTCTCTATCTCTATCCAGAAGTTTTGTTCTCCTGCCCAAACTTCTTCTGAGAGAATCGCTTGGTTTTTTCTCACTGTTGTCTGAATAGAAACTGGCTCTTTCCAGCAGTGCCTCTGAGCCTTGTTCGTCGTCAGAGTAAAAGCAGCCATGACGGGAGAAGTTTCTGGCCATGGCCCGTACTCTACCAGGAGAGGAAGGAGGCCTGCTCAGCTCTGGGATGTCCACAGTGAGAGGAGAATCCTTCCTCTCGTCTTTCTCTGAGCTCAAGATGCTTGACTTTGGAGAGTCCCTGAATGATGTCCGGTTGCTCCCAGAGCCACTTGCCCCACCATTACTCTGCAGGATGTCCTTCTTCAAGTTTTTCTTATTGGTGGGACTGGAACCTTCTGGCAGTGGTTGGACAATGAAGCGTCCATCTGGCCCTCTGGAAATGGACTCCAGAGCAGTTGGTGAGGGAGCCTGAGACCCCAGGTGACTCTCAAAGAGTGTGTAATGAGGTGGTGGAGACGAGTTGGACAAGAGTTGTTTCCGCTGGTCGTGGTATTCCCCACGGCTGCCTTTATCAAAGGAGGACCGATCTGACTGAGAGGAGGAGGAGTTGGGGAAGAAGGGAAGTGGTGGACACAGCTTCAGCTTTAGGACACTGTCTGGGCTGCGAGGAGGCATGCGGGCTCTGAGAAAGATGAAAAAAGAAGAAGAAAAAAAGCTTAAAACAACTACACAACAGATCAGATCATGTAAATATATAATTTACTTGCTTGCTTGTTGATTTTAGTGTTTCATCACAGTCTACAGACGGCTATAATAATGACACATTAATTTAAAAACATTCAAACTTAAATAATTTTTAACAGAGCCACAAATACAGTAAGTAATACAACATAAACTGTTAAAATCACCATATAAATGAAGGAACAGAAGTGTTAATATGCAAGATATGCATGTATATTGGTATATTGGTATGGACACTTACTCTGGTGATGAGGTCTTCTGGAAGGCAGATGGCAGATCTAAGAACAAAGAAGAAGAAACAAATAAAATGTCAAATAATAGCACTGTCGAAATTGTCCAATCACGGCAAAGTGTATTTAATATAAACTTTTTGTGACATATATGTAACATATTCATTTTTTGTGCATTGTGTTCTGATGTTTTACCTTGTCTTCTCTTTCTGCGCCGACGCTGTCTCCTGTGACTCATATAGCATGCTGTCACCAACGAGAGGATGATGGCCACAAACAGGAAGCACACTCCTCCTAACACACCAGCCAACAGGGGCTCCGGGATAACCTCCAAGAAACTTGGGCGCAGGGGGTAAATCTCCATCCCTGTCATCAGACCAGAGTCAATGATGGTGGTCACAAATTCCATTGCTAGAAAACACTACTTATTTAAATATCCAACAATACACATGCTGAAACTCATGTCGACTCAATATGCATGTTCATCTTTGCTTATACAAAGCTGCTTACCTATGGTGGATACATTGACAGACTCACTGGGTTCACTAAGTACTTTGCTGCTGCGAGACATCAGCCTCAGATCATAACTGGAGTCCTTAGAGAGAGAAAGATCCGGGGTTTGATTACCTCCTCTGAATGAAAATATAAACTAGTATGCTTGTAAAAGTTGCTTTGTCAAACATTTTCATTATAAATTATCAACCAATTTGATAAAACACAATTTTTGGCACAATACCTATTTAATCTACATACAGCCAAGTTGCGAAAGCAATAAACACAGAAGCCACACTGGCTGATCTTTGGAAAGTACAGATGTTAAGTAAGAAATAAACGTATCGTTACCCTGAGCAGTCCATGTACAAGTAGTTCACTTTGGTTGGCAGTAATATTGCTGCTGAGGATGACCCACTGGCCCTGATCTCTGCGGGCCTGCAGCACAAAGCCTGTCAATGGAGAGGATAGAGCCTCTGGAGGCGACCACTGGAGGAGAACACCTTGCTCAGTCCGGTTGGCTGACAGGAATATGGGAGGATCCAGGATTGGGAGAGTGGTGACAGCTGTAGGTGCTTCTGTTGGCACAGCTGATAAGAGGACCCGATATAAGTTCATACTGATACATAGTGAAGGCAAAACAGAATTACAGAAAGTGAAGGAAACTAAAAACAGAACATGACTTCACTTGTACAAACCTTGTGTTCGCACTGAAACTATTTCACTGAAAGGTCCAGAGCCAAGTTTATTCTGAGGTAGGACACTGAACTGATATCCTGTGCCAGCAAGTAGCCCAGTCACTAGCAGGTAGTTTTTGGATGTGGGAACAGGCAAAGACGCCCATTCATGTTTCCCCCTGGATGCCTGCTTGACCCTGGAAAAATGTTCAAAACAGCCAAAATTAAGACCAAAATAAAACAATTGCGATTCTTATGGCAGCTTAGAACTGCATCAGTGTGTCTATTATATATTACTGACCACACTGTGAACTTCTGGGTGTATCCACCATCAAAGCCAGGCACCCAGGACACATTTGCCTGGTTCATCTCCGTGGTGACAGATACTGAGGACACAACATGAGGACTGGTGCCTAAGAAACAGAAAAACAGTTCTGTAAGTTTGAACTGCCGACACTAGATGTGATTCAGGTTAAGTATAATACATCACTATATTAGTTTGCAGAAATAAGGTTGGCCCACTCACCCAGCACCATGACCACAGTGCCTGCACTGACAGTCGCTACACGATTAGTGGCCAGGCACTCCCAGCCCCCGTTGTGATCTTTACTGAGTGGCTGCAGTAGTAGGGAACCATTAGCCAACACAGTGTACGGAGAGCGAGGAGTTGGGCCAATCTATGAGACAAGGCAGCCACAACAAGTTAAACAGGGAATGATGAGTGTTTCTACAGCACATCTATTAGAGTTGAACATCTCCCCCTGTACCTTGCTCCATGTTACGTTTGGAGTGGGGTCTCCAAAGGCTTCGCAAGGGATGATCAACTCTCTGCCCACCTCCTGGAGATACTCAGGCCGTGGAGGCACTCGGAGAGATGGTGGGTCCTGAAGCAGGGAAGGAGCCTTGTTATGTCAATCCATGTATAACTGTGCGCTCAAAGTAAAAAGAAGCCCAGCATTACCTGCAAAATGACTTGTGTAGGTTCAGACTGGCCCATCGTGCCATAACTGTTATAGGCAGTGCAGGTGTACATGCCAACAGCATTGTCATTAGCTGTTGCTATAAAAACTGAGCCCTCAGAGTTCACCATCCAACCTGGTAACTGGATACGTAAAAGGAGTTAAAAATACACACAGAGATTCTGACATGAATATAGTGAGAATTTCCACTCCATGAGACTTTTCATTTCCATGGCGCATTAACTTACGTTGTCAAGATTTAAATCGCTCCCGTCTTTGGTCCAGTTGACATACAGCACAGGCGGATCAGCCTGGACAGGACAGACAATGACCCCCTCCATACCTGCTGGCAAGTATGTTTCTCGAGGCATTCGGCCCACACGTGCAGGGTCTAAGACAATGGAAGAAGAATTAATCACAAGACCTGACTGAAGACAATCTCACCCAGGACATGCTGGGAAATGCTCCAACCTCTGTAACCCTGACCAGCAGGGTTACCAAAAATGGAACTTTAATAGATCAACCCCTTACGTTTCACTTTCAGATGTGCAGAGGCAGAGGGCGGGGTCAATATCCCATTAGTTGGGGTGCAGGTGTAGTTGCCAGCATCTTCTGGGATGAGATTAGGGATAAGAAGTGTTCCATCCACCAAAATCTTCACTCTGGATTTAAGGGACCTAAAGCCATAAGATAGAAAACATGGTTCATTCTTTAAAAAGTCATCAAATTGACATTGACACAAAAACTCTTTGTTGTAGTGAGAAAAGGTTTCTTTCTTTATAAAGGTTATTTATCAGAGCATAACCTTAGAAGAAGAAATCACCTTAATCTGAATTGCAAGCTCCTTTATCTCAGGTTTATAGCGTGCTCATGACCACATGCTATAATGGTCTTATAAATAATCTAATTAGAATTGATTGCATTAACAACATGCTCTGGAAAAAACATCTGATTGATCCATTGTGTTTGGCACAATAAAAACCTGTGCAAGTCAGAAAAGGTTCCTTTAAACATTGTTCTTAGTATGCCATCGAAATAAATCAGCATCATGTGAATGATTGCTGGTGATGTGTCTAACTATGTTTTACATTAGACTGAAAAAAGATGTAAGAAATATCTTCTGTTCATGGATATTGTAAAGACCTGGACTCACTCAATGTGGTAAACATTCTGTCCTTGTTTTAACCACTCATAGGTGAGATTGGAAGGGTAGGCATCAGCCTGGCACTGCAGAACTGCATCCTGGGACATGTTGAGAGTGGTGTCCTCTGGGGAGATGATGATGATTGGAGGACCTTTTTGGCAAAGCAGAAAAAAACATCAGACATCCTGATGTAAATATTATGCCTGTCTAAAGTGACGCAGTCAGTCATGATCTGGATTAGTAGTAAGATCAGTGTTGAGTAGTGCAAAGTCTGTAGTCTTTAATCAATGCAGCAGCAGGGAATAGACTGTAGGTGGCAGTACAGACTATGTAACTGTGATTCTCAAACTTGTTAACTGGGATTTCAGTAGCAAAGGTAAAGTCTTTGAGCAGGACAGAGATAAGAAGACAGCTTCATGTATCTGAAGTGACTTGTCCATCGAAAACATGCATTGTTAATGATGAAGCTGTGTCTTGTTACCTGCTCATCACAGCACATGCTTAAACATGAGATAACATTCTCTACCTGATGATTGACAGTTCAACACTGACCTTTGACCTGCAGCTGCATAGAGTGGGTCAGGTTCCCCTCTGAGTTGGACACGTGACATTTGTACACGCCTGAAATATTTCTTGTGACAGAGGCCAAAGACAAGGTACCATTCAGCACCTGAAATGGGGCGAAGGTAAAGAGTAAGAGGATCAAAGAAAACGAGAGAAAAGTTGGAGGAAGATTGTGAAGCGGTCATGGAGAGGACGACAAAGCAGTTGGCTTCGCAGAAACATTGAAGCTACAGATCCTACAGAAAATGCTAATTAAAAAAGTATTTTATTAAAATACTGCAAATGCCATCTGTTAATCATACTCACTTTTATTTTTTCGTGTCTCTCAATTGGACTCTCATCTTTATGCCAGACAACGGTTGGGCGGGGGTTGCCATGGGCTCCACAGCTGAGAGTCAGTGAGTCTCCCAGAAGAACCTCCACAAAAGTTGGTGGTTTCTTGATGAACACAGGTGGAGCTAGAACAAAGACAGCACAGATGGAATAATTATTTCATTTAAATATTCACATGGGACACTGAAGACAATCCAAGCACTAACTTGGCTTTGAGCTCCAAATGCAGAAGTTTACAATTAACCATAGCATCTAAAAATTGGACAATGTCTCAACAAATGTTTGTCTAGATAATCACCAGATGTTGTTGTACCCTCTGCGTTAAGCTAGGCAGTTGGTATACTACAGTGTTCTCATTGAACCTGCTACAAGATTTACATATCTTCAAAAGTAACTGTATCAGTATATTTAGAAAGAGAAATTGTTCATGTTTCCAAATGTGGTGTTGCTTTGAGTATCACAAATGTAAATGGAGCACAATAGCTGATATACCACCAAACTTCAGCAAATCCCACTTAAAGTATATGAACTGGCAGACAGTATATTTCATTGTGCATATTGCCTGAGTTAGAGAGAGCAGAACACAGACCCAACACTGCTAAGGTTGGTGTTTTGTCTCCAGTGAGACCATCCATGGTAAAAATATATGTAACTACTAAATTGTAGTGAGCTTTGAATAAAAATGTCATCGCTGTCTGTGTACAAGCTTCTGTGTTTTGTGATTACTGAGCATATTGAAAGGTGTCCAGTGCTCATCTGCACATTAGCGCAATTATATAAAATTATATAAAATCCCTGCTTTTCACCCTCTAATTCTACTGTGCATAACTACTGTGTATGTGACAGAGAGTGACAAGTATGTGGGTTAAAAAGACATAGATTTGAGCTTTTAACCTTAATCTCTATCCCACACAAGCAGCATATACATTGTCCTCTTCCTGTTATTCTTAAAACCAACTCCTACATTGACATCAGCTCACAGCAGGCTGGGCATGGACAAAGGCAAGATTTGATCACCATGTGCACTGTACACACAGAACCTCCTCATACACTACAATGACACTCAGGATATTCAGCTTGCCAGGGCACTTCAGAGTCCCAGCCAGGCCTCATGCTGTGGCTGTTCTAAACAGGGACAGTGCCAGTGATGAGTAACGAAAGGAGCTGCTCCTGTGTCCCTAAAACCCTGCAGTGCTGCACCTGTGATGGAGAGGAAGGTCCATGTGCCATTACGAAAGTCGTCTGTTTTGCTGTCCAGGAGCAAGATGCGGCATTCGAACCAGCCCTCATCCTCCAGGGTCAGCCGTTCCAGCACCAGAGAGGCACCCTGGGTCAGAGACACACGGCCTGTGGGAGGAGGGGTGAGGGTGGGAGGGCAAAGAGGAAAGGGCGAGAGACAGGGAGAGAGAGGGTCAGCACACAAACACACACAGCCAGACAGGCAGAGTCAGCACACTCAGGAAGAGGGCTTACCATGCAGAGGACACAGGCATCCAGTGTCACAAAGGCCACAGTCAAAGTCATAGACTTTATGCTAGCAGACAAGTTCTAACAGTGTGAACTTCAACTGCAGCTCTAATGTTTGTAACAAATAACGAACCACATAATTAAGATTTATGAAAAAATGAGAGATGGCAGCCAAAATAAATATGCAGCTCAGGATGAGAAGTCAGTGGCTGTCAAATGGTAAATGGAGTGCAAACACATGAATCGCTCAAGTGATGATTGTAATGATATGCCAGATTATAGATGAAGACAGTGTCCTGTCATTTTGGGTTTGGGTGGAGTGGACAGCTAGAATGAGCATGCCAGGAATTCCTGCATGCAGCTTCATTAAATCACAAAATAGAAAAAGATTTTTTCTACTACAGTTACATAACAAAATGAGTCACCTGTTTTTGTTTATCAATGTGGGGCACTGGGCAGTGATAAACAATGTGAGGCGAGGCATGGCAGATGCACGCTCTGAACTAGATGGATCCATGCACGAGCACACACACATTTCCCCATCACACACACCTTATTACCCCACCCCCCCCACCCCCCCCCGCTCCTCTCTGCACTTCTTACAACTCCTTGTCAGGCTTTGAAACTTGATCTGTTGGTTGCCTGGTGACTGCAGCCTGGTTTTCAGGGTACTGAAGTTACCCTTCGCCACCACCCCCACCACCCCCTCCTTTTATTCTGTCTCTCAATGAACTCTTTTTTCCCCATTTCAATCTCAGTCTTTAAACGACAGGAGGATGCGTGCAGGAGGGAAACACACACGTTGCTCATACCAGGCCCTGGCAAAAGCAGTTTGAAAGTAAACAGAGAAATGCAGAGAAGTTTCTGGCATCCTGTCATTCTTGCTTGCTAACAACAAGTTGCTTAAATGATACTGGTGTTGGCTGTCACATTCAACCTTCTGTGCAAAGTATGAAAAAAATAAAGCACTGCAAATAGAAAAAAATGAATCCTCTTTATTTAATTTTTAAGTTGAGCACAAACATCATCTCCTCTCACATAGATAATGTCTCTAACAGGAGAAGTTATGAATTTCCCTGCAACCTTGAAGCAATAATATCACCAGACACACAGTATACTCACTATTCACACTGATATCCCTCCAGACAGCAGTGACTGAAGCAGAGCCTGAAAGCTATGAAATTCATTGAACTCTATACACGGCCTAAAGACAGGGTGAAACACACACTGGGAGTAAAGACAGACATCAATAGCTAACAATTAAACCTGCATTCCTGACTGGGGCTGTTGCTGTGTGTAATAGTTAGGTTTAATGATTGACTGACCTCCTAAAAGACAGACCAGCGTTTGATGGGCGGTGCTCACTTAAGAGTCTCCATAAAATGAATGCCTCTAATTTCAGGTCAGCATCGTTCAAACAAGTGGGTAGGGCTCAGAGAGAGGAAATGTGCAGACAGATGATAACAGGTATGGGGATAACTTTAGGCATTTTCCTCTTATCTCTCTGTGAGGGATCCTCCCTGAGCTGCCCATTTCCCTGAGCTGTAACCTTTTCCAATCAGACATGGAATTAACTGCCCACTGCAGACTAAAAGGAAAAACACTTTCACGTGCAAAAATCACACAAACCCTCTTTAGCACACACTTAATCCTCGTGTGGCTAAATATTATGTGATTTAAAGATCACTGTGGCTAATAGCACCTCTTGTCATATTTTGTAACATAACTAAAAAGCAGCCCGTGAAAATCCCAATGACTGACCATGAGCACTGGTCTTGTGGGGTCAGAAGCACGTGGGTGTGTATACATGTTGATTTTCAAAATTTGGTCAGTGCCCTGCCCCCTGAGTCTCAACAGGGGGATTCTGGTTTCGCTGTCGAACACTTAACCCTTTCCCGTAGCCTCCCTCTTGTCCATCACTACAAAGAGACGGCAGCCACCCCCCCAATCCTCATTCTCCCAGGTTACCATAGTGATGAGACCAAGAAAAGCCCGGGCTGTAGGTTTAGATTTGAATTCAGTTGCTTTAGAAACACGGTGCGGCCAAACATGGTATGGGCGGGTTGATCAAGCGGGGGAGGGGTGGGTTTCTTCTGTCAGAGATTTGAAAAATTACAAGTCGGGGAAAAACATGTTTAGCTTTAAAAAACAGTCTCATGTCACGTCCACAGTACATGAGGCAGCGAAGGGAGAAAGAAATGAGTGAGCGGCAGAAGAAGAGAGGACATTGTTTTCCTTTCAGCCTGTGAACAGACAAAAGGCCGACGCTGTGTGACAAATGTTGCTTTATTCAAATTTGAATGTTGTATCCTTGGCCTTGAAATGGGATCTTAAATGGTACGAGGCAGGTGTTCTTCCCCAAAATTGTTCACGAAAAAAAGGTTGCTTTTCTCTCATATGGCCTGATGCACACATACAATGGAAATATGCTGGAATAATTTGAAAAATGATCAAACACATCAGCAAACACCCACCCTGTTTTTAAATCAAAGAGGAATTGAACGAGAGGTTACAGAGAGGTTACTCAAATTGTGTGCATCGATAATCCACTGACAACCAATGAGAGGTTGACCTTTCTGACCTCAGTGCTCCGTAACTCCCCAGCAGACACATTCATCACTCCCCTCGGTGCTACATTAGCACAATGTCCATGAGTATTCCTCAAGAGACAAACATCATAAGACACTATGGTGAGTAGAGAAAGGCCGAAACAATAGCTGCTGCTCCTTTCTTGTGTCCACCCTCCTCCCCCTCCTCCTCCTCACTGTTTTTCCTCCAGCAGCTATCACATGACAGCTCCACTCTACCTTAAAATGAGCCCTTGTTTCCAACAGGTCGAGCTGCAGTGCAGCCAAGGGTAGAAAATGGAAACGCTAATCCATCGGTGCTGTGTGAACCTCTGAGACGCACCCTCTTCATATTGGCGAGAGTCAGGTTCTCGCCCAGTGGGTGGCAGGTTAGGAATAACTCAGCTTTCAGAGCCGTGCCGCTGGCCAGGAGCTGGGCTTGTCTCATAGTTTCTGATCTCCTACTCTTTTTTTTGAAGATTGATGTGGCTTTTGTGAGTGAAACCACTGCAATGCAACTGAGCTGAGGGCAGTTTACACCACATACATTTTACCCACATAATTCTTGTTCATATTGGGTTACATTTGTGATATAAGACACATTATTTTCATGTAGTACAGTTATATTATATTTTTACTTAGTTTTGTGGCTTATAAGGCTGCGGGACAAACCTCTTCTTGGTCCAAAGGGAGGGAATCAACATGTGATCTTTGCATTGAGGGTTCCCACTGGTATTTACTGACAGTAATACATGAGGTATTGTGAATTACATGTGATACAATAGCAGGGGTAACTATGGAGGAAGAAAGATTATTCTGTTTGGAGAAGCATCAGCACTGCTTTTCTTTGTCTATCAGTATGTGCATAAGAGAGCCAGGCAGAGGTGCATTGTGGGATGTGTTTTGATTTGAATACAATCATAAGTCTGGGACCGGCCCCCTGCCTCTGACAGCTCACCCCTCCCACTCCCCCAAATTTCTCTCTTCAATCCTCCTGTCTCCCTAATCAGTTTAACCCTCTTATGAATAGCTCTTTGTCGTGAGATAGATTACAGTTAACTCTGTCCCTCTCGCTCTGTCCGGCACGGTTAACCCCTGCACCAGCTAGTAGCACACACAGCTCACGTGCCAAATTTCACTACAGCGGCAACTTAACTTACCACAGACATTAGCCCTTATACATGATCACGAAGCAAAGTATTAATTTTAATATTCTTTAAATCTGGAGTTTGGTGCAGTAAGGTTACAATAGGTGTTTGAGGTGTTATCCAGTACAGAACTCTAGCTTTGTTTTCAGGTCAGGAATAGATAACACTGATGTTAGAAAATGTTAGTTACTTGAAGTTTCCTCAGTGGGACTGACCATCAGGAAAATGCTTAATGGGCAATGTTCCTAAAAATAAAATGCAACTTTACCCAACTTTACACTCACATTAGGTAAGTGGATTACCTAAGCTATTAACCACCTCCTGTTTACTCAAGCCACACAAAGACACTTGGACTCCATATCCACAGTAGAGCAGGATTTAATATGAATCACTGACTCTGATCTCATGCTCTTCATTGAATCTGACCAGCGACACACCTAAGGCACGAGGTAACCTGCTGCTCTCAGCTGGCAAACGTGAAATTCCCAAGTTGCAGCCATGTATTCTACTTTCATTGTGTCATTGTTTGCTGCACATCATCCTGGTCTAGTTGTAGCAGAAAAACTGGTTGCTGATGATAAAGATGATCGGTTTCACCTTTCAACTAGGCTATTTTTTTTTTTTGCTTTTGTAGTCACCAAGTAGACTCATGTTTGCAAAAGCAGAGTTGTTAATTCCACTTTAGGTTTATGAAGGAAAAGGTTATAGAGTTCGGGGTTTGTGTGAGTGCGTGGTAGATGTACGTTTGTGTGTACATGACTTGTGCATGTGTGTGACAAATGCAGGCCTTAACTTCTCCTGTGCTCAGAGGTCACACTGAGAGCGTGATGGAGGCCTGCTGAGCTCTGGGGTTTTGCCCATTGTCGTTCTAACCTCAGGTCGGAGTCCCCTGCTCACAGTCTCTACTGATTTACTTCAGCACACAGGAGACATTTGATCTAGCCCTGCAACAGTAAACCATCCTGACAATGCAAGACTTGAACATATTGTCTCAACAAATACAACTCAAACAGACTATAATAGTGTGTCAGTCAGGGTTTATCCGGCTGTTTCCTCTTTGTTGTGAGTTGACTAATGTTCAGTCCTGTAGGGCATGCTGGATGTGTAACAGAGAGGGAGCGGGATGAGGGGGTACTAATACCTTCCTGATTCACTTTAAGTAGACAAGAGAGGCTCTCTGAGATCCAGACAGGCTGGTGTCTAAAAGGTTCAACAGAAGGACGCCGCTCTCTAGTCATGACACTCCTCAAATACAGAATGCAATCTCAAATACACCTGATATCATATCAAAAAATTGTTGGTTTAATGGACTGAAATAGTCATCCAAGATATCGCCTGCTCTGATTCTTTCATCTCAGTTTCTAAAAATGGCAGATAGCATCAGCGAGTTTGAGACAAAGCAGCAGACCAAGGACAGACAGCATTTGGGAATGCTTTTTATGGTTTATTTTAACCTACTTAAATGTGCAGCATTTGCAATGCAATGAGTCCACCAAAGGAAATTAATATTACATATTCAAGCCTGACACCCCACTTAGCTTTATTGGAAGCAGCTATTCTGCTGTAGATCCACCCCAGCGCTGAACACCAGTTCAGGTCGCTGCAATACCCATAATTCATTTTGTTGATCTTTTAACTGTTTTTGATCTGAACGCTTGAAATGTAAATCATCCCTGCTCTCTTGTTCCTGTTCTAAGACAAGCCAAGACAAATATCAGGAAATGGCTGCCTACTTGACTGTCTTGTGGGCTAAATCTGAAATCCCCCAACATTTTAATTTGAGGGTAGAATACATTAGACCCACAGCGCTGACACGCTTCACATGCTGCCATCTGCCTCCAGAGGGAGGGGAGATATGAGGATCTATGGCAGACAGGGGTAAAGCCCAAACCAGACACGTACACACAAGGGATGGATATGGAAAAATATCGGGACATCCCAAACAGTCCTCTACTCTGCTACATCTCTGTAATGTTGTTTACTTCATTATGGCTGCTTGTGCATCAGATGACTGCCCCTAAACAATGACATGGTTAACGGCCTACAAGAGGGTTAACATGCCAAACACATGTAGCCCAACTGTGGAGGCAGCCTGTTTGTGGTTCAGCCCTTATAGACCTTAAATGTGGTTCCTGGGTTATCATGACACTGTAATCATGTTTCTGGATCAGTGGGCTTCTTTCTTTGTAGGCTCTTCTGTCAAAGTAAGTTCTAACATGGCAAATGTGGACAGCTTTAAAGCAAGGTCCCCTGTACATTTCAGTGACCTAGTTGGGACAGTATGGGATTTTGGGTGTCCTGTTAGCTTTGGCAAAGCAAGGGGAGGTTGTGATACCCCTCTTTGTCTTTTGTCTTCTGGTAGACAATGACAGGATTATAGGGCTTCAGTAAGAAAACTCCCATTATTCCCAATGCTTCATCCATCCTCCTTCCAGCACAACAATCTCTCCTTACTGGGTCACCCCTCAGCATACTAATAAAACACTGTCATCAGACCACCAAGCCCCCACCTACACTCCTAATCCCCCCATGCACAGCGTTACTGGTACCCCCCTTCTTCTTGCTCAGCTACCCCACCCCCCTTTAACTGCCTCCATTAAAGCACATGCATTCTCGCCCTTCTCCTTCTCCCTGCAATACAACTGCAGTCTGGAAACACACAGACTGAACACCAGCAGTAATTACAGGGATTGTGGTTTGGCTGGATTACCTATTTGGCGTATTATTTCATCTAAACCTCCCCTCATCAAGTCTTCATAAATACCAGTGTAACCTCCCTATGTCTACCTTTGCTCACACAGGACAGATGAATGTAACTCAAGGTAAAGAGAAAAGTTGCCACATTGACACCTCACCTCCCCTCACCAAAATCTACTGAACCATAATTATGAAAATCTGTCAATAGGTGGTCAGTCTCCTGAATCCTTTCAGAAACAAACTGGTATGATAATAGCTCCAAGTTACTCCTCCTTGTTACACTGTGAAATGTTTTCAAAGCCCCACATCCAAAAAAGGATTTAGTTATAGCAAGGTCTTAAGGAAGGGAATGAACTTCCAGTCAAGTAAATGCAGTTTTCTGAAGGAAGCGTGTAATTGAACGCATCTGAATAACTCTTACCCTTATAGTTTGGGTGAACACGAGGCGCATACACTCCAAATTTGATGAGGATGGGAACGTTGTAACCAAGGCGCACCCACTCCACCACATGTAGAGGAAAGAGATTTGGTGTGGTGGCTTCCTTGGATGTAGGAGTGAGACTGCAGCCCAGCTCTGCAGAACCCCCCTCCCTGGCACGAACCAACGATGACACACCTTGAGACACACCTGCAAAGACAACAGCATTTCACCAGGATAAAGCACAGGATTCACTGTGGACATTTGCTGATAGCATAGGAGGCAATAAACGGTACACGTGAATAAATAACATAAATCATGTTCTATAAGGGCCTGGGAAATATGAGCCTTTTAAAGAGAGTTATGGCTGTCAGGGAGGCCAGATTAACCTCTCTGGAATTTTGTGGTCATTCATTCCTGTGAAAATGGTCTATGCAGAGAAGAGTTTATAAACGTTAAAAGTAATATCCTTGGGGTGAGAGGAGGGAGCTTGACCACACAGGCAGCAAGAGGTCAAGACACAGAAAACTTGGTGGGATACAGAGTGAGAAAGAGCCAACAATGGATCCCTAAGTGCTTTGTTGAACTGGACCTCAAATCAGCCACTGAATATGACATCCCCAGAGTGTTCCCTGTTAAGAGCTGGGGCATCAGAGGGCATGTAAAACAATCATGTGCCATTTGGTGACAAGATCGTATAGCTGCAAAGCCTGCAAACACACAGCAATCCCATTAGTGACACCTGGAGCAGTGTCTCCTCACCCTATCTCCTCTCTCTCCCTTGCTGCCATGTGCTCACGTGGGTGTAAGCGCAACTGGGTGCCAGTGTTTGCTCTGCTACTCATCTGGCCTAGTGATTACTTAAATCTCTGAAGGGGGGGTGGTGGTGGTGGTGATACTCTGATGCAGGGCAGCAGGATCCTCTGTGCTCTCTCTCCAGCCGACCTCCCACCACCCCCTGGGGTACACACATGGTCTGCGGACCAGCACAATCAATCCCACCGCCCCCCTTTACAAACACATGCACGCACACACAGAAGCGTGCCTAGGGTTGGGGGTAGCACAAATCCAGGATTGATCTAAATCCACACCCAGAGATATTATTTAAGTTGGATTTTGGCCTCGTTCTCTCTCGTCCACTCATGTCTGTGCTGTAACCCCCCTCCTCTTTACTTTCTCCAAAGCAAGGCAATGGGAGCTGTGCCAAATGCATTATGGTGTCGCTCAAACTGTATGTAGGCAGCTAAACAGCGACATATGCCAACTGCTTTGCAATGCTTTGCCATAACAAGGGACATAGGTCTTGTTTATGCAAGTAAAAATTGAACATTTGGTGAAGAAATGCAAACAAATGGCAAACAGACAAATGGAGAAAAACAACTGGTTGTGGTACAAACTAAAAAAGCGCAGTCAGAAAGTCTTACAAAAAACAAATTTGTTTGACTGTATGACATGATAACACTGGACAAAGCATTTTATAAGACTACTTTTCAATATCACTTTATGCAGTTAGTGAAAAAGCCAACTATGAATTTGGTTTTCCATAGCTTTGACACAAAATGAGTTAAATGTGCACAAATTCAACCACTTATTTCACTGAATTTAATTTAAATTAATTAAATCTGAAATATATACATAATGTGGTGAAGTGTTTAAAGCAAGTCATCAAAGACTAAAGACAAACAGTAACATTATAAAGCAACACCCTCATGTAAATGTGATCATACATAGCAGACTTTCATCACAGTTAATCTGCACTGTACATGTACAGGTCCTCTTTACACATGTTGAGTCCTTTTTCTCTGTCAGTGTTACATAATTGTGTCTCTTTTACTGTTTTTGTTTATTTTTCCGAGTTGACAGACACAGTCTACAACAATTTGTAAAATGATTTGCTTCGTTGTCTGTGCCACATTCCATCCAGCTGTTTTCGATGACTTATTCATTTTTGGAAAGTGTCTTTAATGATTAAATAAAACGAATACATTTAGTGAATAAAAGTTTGTGAGCAGTTTCTTAAAAAGCATGTATATTGTTTGACATAGACAACTTAGTACTGAAAAATGCCTGTTAGTGTTTGTGAAAAACTCCAAAAGCTCAAGAGAAGAAATTAATTGTGGTAATGTATTGTAAATGTATGCAATGGGTCCATATTTGCATTAGCATACTTACTTAGCAGACAGATGGCTACAGCAGTGATGACAGCCTGAAGCCACTGTCTCTCCAGTCCCATGGCCGTTCGTCACACTTCTTCACACATCTCCCAACCTGAAAGAGAAGACCACACATCCCGTTTACTCTTCAACACAACACTACTGTACAATTCACACATTCACCACTGCACAAGGACATCCCTCACATCCCCGCTCAGACAAATGTAATCCCTCGAGTTAACATCAACTCATAATCCAACAACTACACCACATTCCAGATGCTTCTTGGTTAATAAATAACTATATTCTTTGAAAACATTAAATCCTCGGGAAAATTGCATGTCTGAGCTGTCGTTGGATTATGGCAAATGAGCTATTCCAACAAGTGCCACAAATAAAGACAGACAATTTAAGACATGAGATTGCTGAGAGTATGCATCCTGTGGAGGTCTGCCTGCCGAGACCAAAGTGTGTGTGTGTGTGTGTGTGTGTGTGTGTGTGTGTGTGTGTGTGTATGTGTGCACGTGTGTGTTTGTATGCGTCCACACACAAGACCTGTACAAGGCTCTAAGTGTATGTACAGATTAACCTGATGCTTGTGATTGGTCCAGCTCATCCAGAAGGTCTCGTCTCACGCTAAATAGGCTAACAGCCATTGACAGGTGACACAAACAGCATTGACAGGTGTGTCTGCACGACTCCAGATGTTATCTTATTACCTTTGCTTAAAAAAAGAACTTAAGTGGCATAAATAGACTGCCATCAGGCAACGTGCTTAAATTAAACTACAATCAAGACTCTGTCAACTACTGCACAAATCAAGCAGTTCACCTGAGTTTTACAGGAAATGCACAAACAGCTCATTTAAACCCACCAGCACGAGCCACTGATTTTCATCTCCTAATGAGCTCCACAAACAGGCTCCACTTACACAAATTGTGGACCTACTTCACAGTCTGACCGATAAGAACAGCTGCAGCAACTCAGGAGGCCCTCCACCTCAAATTGGATTGGAGGCACAAGTTTAAGTTGTTGCCCTTCAAACATAATAGAAGACCTCGCCCCCCTCCCCTTAAGTCACTCCATTCAGTACCCCTAATACCAGCTTATTACTTTAAGTTCATTTAAGTAATATAAGAAGGAGGCTATTCTTGGAAACCAGGTAGGTGTTGGTTATTAACTGCTGATATAACCACAGATGCGCTGCAGAAGCACAGGATAACTAAATCATTCGAGGGATGTGCTTAGTCTCTTAGCGGTAATGTTTGCACTTGAGTAAACAAACAGCCCAGAATAGAGCAGGAGAAAGATGCATTTAGTTCCTTGCACTTGACAAAAATAGGGATGGGACTGTTGCTGATGAGGCTGGCCATGAAGCACTGAAGCAATAACTTTTGTTTAGCACCTTTACAAAACAAGGAAAAAGACAAAACCAAGGTTGCACAAGCACTGAAAAAGAGTGGGACAAAAAAAACATTACAATGGTGCTTGGTTTTAAAGTAAAAGCTGATGAAGTAGGGATGGTGGTAGGACACTGCAAATGGCTGAGCAGTTTTTGCATGACAGAATCATTTCAGTGCAATGTTTGTAATGGGGAAAGGATTACTCCCACTGAGCAAACATTATTTGCTCAGTGGGAGTATAGGAATAAACAGGACTCTTATAATGGATTAACAAAAATAAAGAAATAAATCTTTTCAGTCTAATCATTTGTGTGTCACCTCCAGCAGTCAAAAAAATGATGGAAGTGATTGCACATCACTGCATCATCCTGGCTGCCATCTTCACAGTCAGTTTAATGACATGACAGCAAAAGTAATGAGAAAATCCCATCATATATCTCAAGTTCTAACTCATATGTAGTCTAGTAACTTTTGACAACCACAAAACATAACAAATCTTGTCTCCTCTATTGTGCTTCCACTACGGAATATATGACTGGCTTGTGGGAACAGACAGACAGGGCTGCGCCCACACTGAGCCGATATAATACAGAGGACGCCTGGAGGGGGCTTTGTCTGCAGGTGCAGGAGTAGACAGACGACAGCCAGGTTATTTCCTCAGGCAACAGAGCAAAGCATGGGGCCATTTAATTGGTATGTAAACAGACAGGGCCTAAAAAAGAGAGTTCAGATGTTTAAGGTGTAACTAGTCAAAAAATAGTTAATAGCAGCACCTTTTGCTATTTATGTGACTCCAATCTGACATTGGCACTTGCAGAATTGTAAGGAAGTATGATTTACATCTCATAATTAACTTACAAAGAAAGAATAACTGTGGATTACAGCTCTCATGTGAGGGCATACACTATACATACTTGTGCATGTGAAAGGTGAGAGGGCTTTACTCCTAGACACTAATCTCCTCACAGGGGTAACTGAGGGAAAGTGGACATAATTAACCACTGTTTGCAAGTTGCACACAACAATGCTGAGAGACATTGGCGTAACAGAATATGTCAGAGCACATCCTGCCTTCCCTTGAAATAAAGTTGTGCGAATGGCATGGACATCACCAGTGAATCGACAGAACTTTAGTGATCTTTGACTATCTAACAATGAGATTACTGGGATGTGACTTTCAAAGGTAAAAAGCGATAGCATGAAAAAGCTCAACACACAAACACTCAAATGATAACTACATGAAAATTAAATGTGACTTAAAAATGAGGCCTTCACATCATGAGTTTAGAAAAGGTTATCATGGGTAAAAAGAAAAAACTAGGGGGGAAAAAAACAGTAAATTCCTGCCTCAGCACAAGGCATTTAGTTCTGTAACGTGAGTGGACACTGCTGAGTGGTGCAATGTTACACTGGATTTCATTGACACAAATTGCTTTGGATCTAGTCAAGTCTTTGCCTTCTGGACAGAACAGTTCTAACACCCAGACTAATCCTGCCCTGCTGCTTTGAGTGTTAATAGTGTAATTGAATTAGAGATCAAATTGGTGAGTCAAATCAAGGACGATCTGTCATCTGGCTGTGCAGTGATCAATCACTGGTAAATCAAGTCACTAAACACTTCAGGTTATTCTGCCTACTGAGATTCTACCAATCTGTGCTGGTGAAGATAACAGCTAGTAGTTTTGTGTTGTCCACATTTTATGGAGGATACATGCCTCAGTCAATAAAGATCAACTTGGGTCTCAACCCATTAAGTTATAGATCCACTTAGAGACTGGTTTTCTCATCCCCATTGCCTAAAAAATAAGTTTACTTATGCACAACTTACAGCACTTCATAAAAAAAAAAGAGACGCATACTCTTCAAAATTCAAATGTCGTAAAGAAGGGTTTCCAGAATCAGAGTCTAAATGGATGGATGGATGACCTTGTCTGAACACTGACATAAAATCATGTATTAAATGAAAGTAAGAAGCTGATTCCAAGCTGTCAGCCACAACAGCTGGTAAGCCTGACCTCTCCATATGCATCTCCTCTGTATCACACTAGAATAAACTGATCGTAAGGCATTAACTGAATAATGCAAAAGTTAAGGTGCACTTTGTAATGTGCATGAGTTAAAAAGGACAGAGCAGTAGTCTTTTCAGCTGTCTTGAGCACTTGATAAGAGACAATTAAATTGTCGGTTTCTCCTTTCAAGCTAATGTCTTTTCTGACAAACAGAAAACTCAACGCAAAAAGTGAACTTTTGACCTAAGGTGTGTGAAAGTGTGTGTGTTATCCCGCATTACCTAAGCAGAGCCACCAGTGATGCTAGTGACAGATACAAGCCTGATAAGCAGCAGCATTACTCTTTTAGTAATCCTTGTTAATCCTGACAGAGGCCGTAGCTTCAGAGCAAACCAGCCTGTGGCAGGAAGTACAAGTGTTACTTGACCCGAAACTTTGAACAGAGGTGCACAGAGGAATCTCAAACTGATCTACACAAATGCTACATGTGAACCACAGCCATTTACACAAGAATAAGTTGTAAACCACCAATCCAACCTTGACTGGTTGGACCAGCCTACACATCACAGCAATCAATTCATGGATTTTGTCACTGGCACTGCAACCCAATTTAGAAACTGTATTGACAATATATTTAACTAAAGGAAATGAACAGGGCACACACTGGGCACAGGAGTGAAGCCCTAGTCTCGTGAGGGGAAAAGCCTACTGTACTGTATATGGATTAACACAGTGGTCGTTAGAAACCTAACACATACTGCTACAGGGAATAACAATATTGAGTGTTAGTGAATGTACTAGTAGTAGTAGTAGTGACTAGTTTTATTCGCTCACACAGAGAAACTTGGACAGTGTTACCTTCACTTCACAATGAAATGTGCAGAAACTATATGCTTCAGGCATCTCTGGAGTGGTTTCATATTTTAGGGGAGCAGAGAATGACATGAGTCTAGTGAAAACTAAGCAGCTAACATCCTTCTCTGTCCTTCCCTGCCCCCGACTTTCAGCGACAGGTCAGTCTCATAAAGCTGCTTTCAAGACATGAAACTGAGAGGAACCAAGGGTCAAAAGCCAAAGGTAACAAACTCAAAAGCTGCAGTCAAGTGTTGAAGCATGGCACTGGATTTATTTTAAAACTTGAAGATCGATGAGCCACATTCTCAAAGGACCACAACAGACCCTAACTGTTTAAACTAAAAATTTCACAGATTCACATTTCTTCATTTGGGGCAGCGGTTACTGACCAGATGTAAAGGGCTCTATCAGACAGGGCACCACTAATGAGACATAAAATACAAAGTACACTGGTGTCCACTTCCCACTTAAATCTCAAAATCAACCGCACCAAACAGTGTCAGCAACATAGAACAAACAATGCTTGGGACATACATTCACTACATTAGTCGTATGCATTTATGATACACTGCATGGCTTTAACTTTAGTAGGACCTCTCTCTAATCAACCTTAGCTTTCATTCAACACACTCATTTATATGGGCATTTTCTTGTATATTCTTTACTATTCCACAAGATTCAGAGCTGTGTGACGACATGCATTCACTGTAAAGGACTAGACTCAATCTTAACCACTTATAACATTGCAATTTGGAGTAACCACTTTAACTCATGAATAATTAGTTTCTCAATTCAATCAATTTCCTTCCAACATGACAATGTGCCTGCAGGCCACAGTTGGCCACAGTGTTTTGAACAGTGCAGCATAATAGTGAAATGTCAGGTCCTGCTAAATATTGAAATACGTAGGATATTACTGTGTAAAATGACACCTGAGCTGGTATCTGACAGAGAGACCTGGAAAGCCTGGATGATATGCTAAAGATTGACTTAAAGGATTCTGGGAGAAAAATGCAAAAGTGCTTCTTAACATAGCTGTCACCCTGTAAATAAGGCAACATCAATCACAAAAACTGACTTATTATTTAGTGTTTGCCAAGAAGACCATAACAGAAGTAGATATTTCTCACTGGTGTACCATTTTGAGGAAATAACAAATTTCAAAATTGACTAAAACAACCCACTAGCTGATGAAGAATGAAGACAGCTTATATTTATGAAATCAAACCGTGTTCCTATACAATCTAATGGCCCAACACAAGGGATTACAGGCATCATGAGTGATGTGCGCCTCTGAGCACCTCACATCTAACCAAACAGTATTAACAAGCACAACAAAAACAAAGAAAGGGAAACACTAGGACAGGGAGTATGCACAAGACAGCTGCACTTTTATGTACACAACATCTGAAATTAGGTTGTGTCCATTAGATTGCACCATGCTGTGGAGCAGCAGACAAATAAACTGTGTGGTCCATATAAAACGGAAACCAAGCCACAAGCTTTTTATTTCTGTACCCCTACAGTGAATAGTGATGCTGAGTCCTCCATGTCACTATGCAGACCTCCTGTAAAACAAAACAGGTGCATCTTTTGTCTGAAAGGGAGTCTGGTACAAACAGAGAGCCCTGAATAAAAAAAATAAAAAGCAGTATTTTTACTGGGTATTGTTCTCACCATTTTAATCCAGGGTACAGAGTTCAGTTTTGGGTCAGTACAGCGTGTTAAACCTGTTCACTGTGATTTAACACGAAAAAAAATCCCCCAGACTCATTCGGGGATTTCAGGTGGTGCATGTGATACACAAAACATAAACAAAAGCGCAAGGTATAATAGTATTACTACAGTACATTTTACATGGAACCTAGACTAATATCACGGCATAGTATGCGTCTTTCAAATAATATTTATGTGCTAAAAACAGGAAAGAAAAGGAAATAAAGTAAGGTCACTGCCGAATCACACATGCTTATTATGAGTGGTATAGCAAGAACACTACAGACATATGATAGATTTCTATCCAACCAGCAGTGTGTTGCTGGTGTATTGCAGACGAGATACAAACTACAAGATGTTTTCTATGTTTAGGTGAGGGGCCTGTAGAGGATGCTTTGCCTCTGCCCGCATAGCTCCTTACCTTGCTTGAGGCACTTTTCACTTGAAGCTAAAAGTACAGTCTTTCAATCCATTGGTGCTCCTCTTTTAGACTCGTTTAGCAGACCAAATGTAGTCGTTCACAACTTTCTCTTCAGGGAGAAGTTAGATCAAAACATGCGACTTTAAAAATAAAAAAGAAGACGATGTTGAATAAAACGCAGGTGGTCACATTTTTGTTCTCAGTGCATGCGTGGATCAAAAGGAAAATAAAATTAGTCCTCGACGTCCATGGTTTCCAGACGTCCTAAAAAATATCTTGTGGTGTCAATAAAATCCATTAACCCAGGCCACCTTCATGGGTCCGACATCAGTCCACTTAAAGTCCATTTAAACTTTCACCGCCTTGGCTTTTATGTCTGCAATCTTCTTAGTCCAAACTTGCCAAGTACCTTTAATCATAAGTGAGAGTTTATCATTTACTTCATAAAAATGTAGAAATGGCTCTCGGTCGACGCAGTGCGCATTTAACATGACATAGAAGCAAGTTTCATCAGAAAGGGGGCACAGCGCACGTTTAGTTAGAGCCCTGCTGTTGATACTCTCTCCGTGTCTCCCCTCCCATTATTATCATTCCCTCCTCCTACTACAGGAGCTTCTTGAACCACTGCCAATCACAACTAATACAACCACAACACTTCCTGTTACACCTTTCAAGATAAAGCCCTCGCTGAAGAACAATGATAATACGGGAGGAAATACAGATCTATTGTTAAAGGCGGAATTGGGCTGAAACATATCATCAAATAATCTATTCATCTAAGAAAAATATCAATATTAGTTCAGTTTTCTCTGTTTTATGTGATTACATAGGCTATTGAGTATATCTACATTTGTGACTGCTGGTTGGACCAAATTTTCAAAATTTTTTAACATTTCATGCCCTGAAAATCAACAGTTAGTTGCATAAATTACGCATCACTAAGTTAATCAATGTAGGCCGTTTTCATGGAAGACATTTACAGAGGGCACAGGTGCAAACACTAAAATTAATTACGCCTGAATTTCATTTAGTTGCTTTGGTTTCAGGGTCCTGGTATTGTGCTAGTGCTAGTTCACTGACATAGGGGTTACTGAGACATTTGGACAATGACTTAAGACAAGATTTAAACCAGAAAAGTCTGGCTGTTATGAAAAGTCCAATCATGTCAAGTTGTAGTCAGAACATGGTCCGTGGGGCTGAGAAAAGAAGCTTTTATATTGAAGGAATCTGTACCAACTTCCTCTACTTTGCCACCTGTCTCTGTGTGGCTTGATGCTGCTGGTGTTTTAGCGCCTCAAACAAAAGCGCCTTTCCGTGGGAAAGACTTAAGGATCGTAACAAAAGGCAAACAGCACACCTAAAGGACAACGTTTGACTCAGAGCGTTTGGTACAACAACCAGCAAATGTCCAACAAAAACATCTTCTACCGAACAGAGGGGACATATAAAATCACAGTATATAATACAAAATGGAAAACGGGTGTGATGCATTCTAAATAATTTATTGGGTTCTACCAAACACACCCACACACAACATACACAGCATCCCCCGCCCAAAATGTGTCGACAATTGTCCTACGAAGACGAGTGAGGATCATCACTAATCATACCTTACTTATGTCTGTTAACGTTAATTATCTGCACTGATCAGCTTGTTCAATACGAATAACAACAATGGCATTTGTTGGTGGCAGGGTTAGAGTTTCCAGGCTATATTTGTATAGTCATTATATTGTAAAACTAGCTACTTAACAGGGATCAACACTTAAGGTTAACTTACTGGAACAAAGGACCAAACTGTTTGGGTCAAGTGTGGAAATATGTTTGACATATATTCTCACATCCTGAAAGCTAGTGAAATGTGTTTGTTAAAACTGCATTGAATATGTACCTAATTATCCCGCCATTACAAACTACTACTTTAATCACTGCACATTCAAAGTTTTAAGCTAACGTTAGCTTTCAGTTAGCTAACGGCTCAACATTAAGCTAGCATTAGACAGCAATTATTCTCTTCATAAATGGTATATTTGCCATTATAATACACGTATTACAATAAACCTAAACCGTTAGCTATGTTATTTTGTTAATTTATCTGTTGAACCCAATAATGAGTTAAAATAGAAGGCTCATTCACACCCAGACTTGTCAAATGTTTTTTCCCCCTTTCTTTTTAAACTTAAGCCTTCAGCTAAAAATCGTCAATAGACAATTGTTCAAACTAATTTGGACAACCCTCGAAATAATCATAACTAGAAAAAAAAAAAAAAAAAGAGCGGCAGGGAGTTTTGTCACTTATACTATCAAAGATTTTCATTATCTTACCTCAGAACCACTTCTTTTGATGTCCTCCTAAACTGAACTGCACATCATTCAAAGATGAGCTAATCTCCTGTCATATAAGAGCTGATGGGGATGTGGTCGGTTGGGTTGTTGAGGGGACACTTTGCTCCGTCTTGTTTACCCTGCTGTATCACCACAGGGGGGCGGTACTGGGTCTGGATCAACAGAGATTAATTGGGTTCATGACAGTGTCCATGAGGACCGTAAATGACAGGCCCTTGTGTATTGATGCAGAGTGTATTTGAAGAAAATAAAATATAGTTAACTTAAGACATAATTTAGGACTATCATTATTAGTTTATAAAATCTATGTGCATTGATGATTTGAGACAAAAATTAGAAAGTAATATGTACTCAACTGTGGTCGTACACTATTAAATTACTATAGTATCCCTAGATTATTACTATACACTTATTATGTCTGTGTGTGCTTATTGTACAGCAATGTCTGCCTGTGTAGTAATGATTAATACAATTAAAATCAAGGGTTAATAGAAAGTACACATTAACAAGGTATAAGAAATATGTGATTGTTCAGTGGTAAATTGTTGAGCCAATAAAAGCATAGATATCATGAACAGAGCAGCCGATCTCAGTCTTTTCTAAGTGAGTTTGTATGTAAGTGTTATGCAAGTATGAGTGCTTCCTGAAAAGGTAGGCAGCCCAAAAAAAGTTTTTCTAAGCTTATGTAAAGAGTGTGATCTAATCTAATGCCTGGTAGTTTGTGATTGGTGGCTGATTGAGTGTGTGCAATAGGTAGCAAGAAAAACAAAGAGAACACAAGGTACTGTCCTTAAAAACAACCAACAGTAAAGCTGGTTGCCAAGCATCTGAAAGGATTTTATAAGTGCAACCTTTACTGACAATGTGCTTTTCATATGACATTATCCTGCAAAGGAAATTGAGGTGGTAGCCTTGCCTTTCACTAGCACACTTTCAAATTATGTTACTGATGATGTTGATAGGGCAGATTATAAGAAAGGTTTGAGACGCAGGTTATCAGAATGTCAAGCTTGTGTGCTTCCCTGTTTGACAATGTTTACTCTCACAGGGCAGGTGCACCATATGGAGATCAAAGGATTGGAATTAATCACATGAAATCCCCTCTGCACAGTGAGCAAGAATTAACTAGAGGGTAAGGCAAATTGTGTTATAAAGTATACTGATCATATCATACACAAACCAATATTAGCCTTTTATTACATATTGTTTATCTGACTTGCAAGATATACAATATGATGTAAGATGCAGGTATGTCACTCAGCCTAGTCTGTACAACCTGTAATATTGAAAAATTGAACTGAATTTTTCTCTAAACCAATTCCTTGTCCACCAGTTTTTTATGAATTTTCTCTACCACTGAACATGTGGGTAGATCACCTCAAATTTAAGACCCCACTGAATACAATTTCAGTTTTATTTGGCATGAAAATTATTTTGTGAACTGTCTCAAAAACTCTCTTGAATTAACAGTCCTGTTTCAATACATAGGTAGCCACATTGGTTGAGATTACTCAGTGTAAAGTTATTGACAGTAACAGTGGGTCTGTGTAGTTTCTGTTCATCATAGGCCATCATGTGAATTATGAGTATGATGGTTAAATGATGCCAATATTTCTCAGAGTAGAGGTGATCTAAGTAATACAAATAGCATACATATAAAAGGACTCATCAAATCATAGTTTTATTAATTAATCAAGCTAATAAAAACAAATATACAAATCATACAGTATCTGATACTGATGTGGCTTCATAACAGCAGGCATTAGCTACCAAGGCATAAAAATCTATCAGAATAGTATCATTGTTTAAAGCAACAATTGCACCTCATTTTCTTTAAAGGTATCACTACCTAAAGTTCAGCACAAGCAATACTGTATATAAGTGCATGTAAGCACATCTGAAGCTACAGTGCAGGTCAGTCATCAAAGTCTGGGATATCATCATAGGAGTACCCTGGGTAGCCCTTTGATGCATAGTAAGCTATCCGTAGGTGGTAAATTCCAGGCAGGAAGACAAGGATCCCAATGATGAGGACAGGCACAGTTCGGTCTGTGTGCTGAGGGACGGAGAACATTTCAGACATTTATTTAATCAAGATATAATATAATATGTATACAAATATATATATATATATATATATATATATATATATTGCTTTGCTGTTAAAAAAAAAAGTACTCACAGTGACCTCAAAGTATCCAGCCAGAAGAAGGGCGCCAATAATGATTAACAGAGAGCCGATTAAGAAGAGGACTGTGGCTAGTGCTATGGCTTTGTATGGGACTTTGGGTGGGCTCTTTTTGAACTGTAGAGGAGAAATATTTAATTAAAACACTTTTCTCAGACACAGCAGGCTTTATAGAGCACTGCCCGTTTTCCCCACTCATACACTACACATGCTAAATTAGTCTGGCTGATAATGTACTGGAACTTCTTGGTGAATGTGACAGTCCACTGACTGGTTCACAGATATTTTCTATCAAAGGGATTTGACTTTATGAGCTATGAAACTGTCATGATAACACTGTGCATTTGAAGATGTTAATATCTTAGTTAATCTTGGTGACTATTGGGGAGCTTTTTCAAGAATGAGAAAATAACCTTGATAATATCATTAGGGTTATCTCAGCCTGGGCCGCCCCACGTGTTTGGAGCTTGACCCACAAATGGCACATAGGACTCAGGAAATAGCAGCCCCTGCTGCTTCAATTTTGACCTCTCTTTTTAAATCTGTCTCTCACAAGTACCCTAATGTTAATGAAGCACAGTACTAAATCAATAAAGTGCCCCTTTAAGTTAATTATTTATCATTATAGGTCTAGAATTGCTGTTATGGAGTTAATTTTTAGAAGTGGGTGAACTCATGACAGCAAGTCAATCATTGTTGATAGAAACAGAATTATTCAAGATATAAATTGTTATAAATCTTGAAACACTGATTCAGTTTGCTGTCCTTCCCCCTAAAACTTAAGAAACCCTCTCTTCATCCAACATGGATCATCATGATACACACTATAGTGGGCTGACCTAGCTTCATGCAGCCTGTCTTACCTGTAGGTCAATGTAGCCGTCATCATCAGAGGCTAGTCTTGAGTACCTAACTTTGCTGTTAGGAATCCCGTTGGACACAACGTTACGAGCAGGCATCTTATCCAGCAGTTTGTTTTCAGTGTTTCAATGGGGCAGAAGCAGCTCGGCTACACAAGCATTAACAACACTGCAGCCATCACCCGGGTCATTCACAAGCTGTCTGTGTCAAGGTAAAGAAAACTATTACACCAGATCTGATGAAGTATTGCTACTACTTCCTAAAATAGGTCTTAAAAAGAGATTGCAGCGGGGTGTTGTCTGTTTATGATCTATTAACATAGATCTTCCGTGTTTTCGACACGCATCTATGTCCCGCGCATGCGCACAACAAAGCGGATATTATGGATTTCCAAAATTCAGCGTTACTCCAAGATTAAATGCTTCGTGTGCCATGCTAGATCAAAATTGCTTTTAGAGCGTCATATCAATTTAAAGTTGTCCCATTACTTTATTCTGATTAAGTGTTTTGCTTATGGTGGTTTGCACAGCTCCATGGCTGCCACGAGAGGGCGCTGTCGAATCTCATTTATATGACCAGGTCACAGTGAGCCGCAGACCTGCACTCTGAGATTCATCTCTTTGTGTGGAGGTTCATTTCCTGAGGTGTTCTCTCAGGCCAGCTTTATAATCACACTGTGTTCTCAGAAGATAAAGTTTCTGTCTAGGCTGCAGATTTTTGATACAAGGTGAAGGTTGTTTTTAGCCCCAGAGATGCAATCTGGTATTTCACATATAATATTTATTTCACATAAATTTTACAAAATAGAAATTGTGAGCACTCCTGAGTCCACCAAATTAAATAAGATACCATTATATTGAAATAATTAAACACATAACCTCTCTAAAAGTGACACATTAATAAGTCTCTGTGACATCCATTATTCATCAAATCACATTAAAGTCAGGATTTGATAATAATTGGTACATCTAATTGTTTAATGTTTAGAATTGAATAACTGATATTCTCTGTAATTTCAATCGTGGAGGAAGCGGACTCAGTTGTTGGTGTATTCCACTTATCTCTGCCAGATACTGTCATCTCTCTGTTCATGCACAGCAGTAACCTGGCCTGTGAATGACTGACCGTGAAATAGACAAAACCACAAAAAATAACATTTGCTGGCAATTCCCTTGAAATGAATAATTAAAGCTGTTGTGGGAGGTATATTGTCTTTTTTCCCCTCCTTTTTTTTTTTTTCTTTTACAAATTGTGTTTCTCACATTCCCCTGCTGGTTTGTGGAAAATTGAACTGTCACATAGACAAATATAGACTCTCCTGTAGGCAGGATTCAGATAGCTGCCTAGCCCTGAAGCTACACAACAGTGGATCGTTGTGATTCAAGCTTTCTTTCAGAGCTGAACACTCTATATTCAAGGATAAATGTCCACAGGTTGTAAATAGCCTAGAAATACACTGTTCTTTTCATAAGCAGCAATAATAAAGTCAATGCATATTCTTATTGGATGTGCTCGCAGCATCAATAATAGACTTTTGCTGCTTTTAAAGTACTTGTTGGCAGAGAACGAGTCTCAAGTGATCATTAGTACGCTCTGTGACCTTGACTGCAAGTTGCATTGTTGTAGTTTAAGGCCATACTGTTGCTCTCTGGAGGGATGTAAGGCTAATTTGTGTTTCATATTCCTGTTGTTTTTCACTGCATGTATGAATCACCATGCACTGTGCTGCACCATATTCTCTCTGTTCAATTTATGATGTATATTACAAATATATCCAAACTTCCGCAAAAAGTAATCTCTATAAATCCATCCTTGATGCAGCTGAACTTCATCTCTGTTTTAGGGGGATTAAATGTAAATGTATTTTCTCTTCAGACTACAGACTGCTTTTAAATGCACAGTAGCTCCCACATATCTCCTCTTGTCCTCACTTTTCCAGAAGAAAACCACTATGGAACCCACCTATGCCCCCTGAAATGACTGACTGTGCAGACGTCTTGCATGTGCATGAGTTCATCTTCACTGTACCTGTTAATGACAATAAGAGAGTTAAACTTTGCCCTTTGCTTTATGACTTAAGGAAGTTTCCTTGCTCATGTCTCACTCTGCTGTGTGACTGCATGTTTGCTGCACTCATTAGCTAACACCAAGGCTGCGTCACTGGTGCGTATTCCTTTGTGCGCCAAATCGTTCCCTCTTATCTGTCCCGTTTCCTCACTTGGATGTTCAATACTCACAATCAAGGTCACTGCACAAGCTGCTTACCCTTCCCCAGTCTGAATTTAGAAACATGGTATTTAATTTATCTGCCCCATGGTCCTGAAACAATCTACAAGCGCAGATAAATCTGCAATTATTTTATATTCATGTATTCAAAATGAATGGGCCTCAGGATGAGACCACTGATGGAGTAATCTATCTGTAAGTAACCCTGTTGCCCTTTCTGTTCATTTTCGGACATGACTTCATGCATTGTCTAGTTGTCTTGTCTATCTTTTCTTGCTGAAATACACATGGGTTTTAGGATTTCAATGGGACTTCCCATAATGTATTGGTGCGATGTGCTTAACAATACAAAATATAATGCTGTTCAAGTGACATCTGGAGTTATTATTAATTAATCAGATGATCAGCAAGACTGTCATCAGTCAGAGGGGGGGCAGAGTGTGTTGTCATGTTAGATAATCCCTGCCACTAGACCATAATGCCTGCACAGAAGAGCATCAGAACAGCTGAGCACACTGAGTCCTCAGGCAGTGTGTGTGTGTGTGTGTGTGTGTGTGTGTGTGTGTGTGTGTGTGTGTGTGCGTGCGTGTCTGCGTGGTAAGAAAACAGCAGCAGTCACCCCCTTATAACCCCTGAGTATGACACTGAACAGTAAGAGAACAGCGTTTAGGCCATAATTAGAGTCCTGTTCAGAGTAGAGTTCTGTCTGATAATTAGGTCTGTCTTCATTACAGCAATTGCAGATAGCACCACGACTGGAGCCCAATAAAAGGCAGAACCATTATACCACTTGAACACCATGCAATCTCCCTGTGGCTCAGCCTTTTTACTTTTAAAGAACCGTCAGGTTTCAGAAATTATTAAATGTGGCATGTGGTGCAAAGGTGCTGCTGAGCAACAAGCTTTTCAAAATTTAAGATAATTTTTCAGAAACTAATATAATTCTTTATTTTTGGGTTGGTCGAGCCACATCTGGAAGAAAGAAATTATTGAGCTGAGCTTGTGATTTTGTGCTTTGCTTGTTTGTGTGCTCATATATTGAACATCTGATGAACAGTAATATGTGGGTGGAATATTGGCATGGATAAGGTACAGAAAAGGGTTTCTATCTCTTTCATATTAATGCCCACACTAGCAGCACGACCAAAGGAATGGAGATGTTGGTCAGTCGGTCCACCACTACTTTCGTCCAGATTGAAATATCTCAACAATGATTCTACTGACTTTGGTAATCTCCTGACTTTTCGTCTAATAACTCCAGTCCAGTTTCCACTTATCCGGTGAAATATCTCTCCTGAATGGATTGGCACAGACTGGTGTAGACATTTATGGTTCCCGGATAATGAATCCTAATGAACTTTGGCGAACCTTTGACTTTTCCTTTGTCACTACCGTTAGACTATTTGTAGTTTTAAGTGAAATATCTCAACTTTCTCGCTCCCCTGGTGGTAAATTGTATATTGAATTTTCAATTTGTCCAGTATTTTGTTTTATTTAGTTTGTCACGTATTTGCTGCAAAAAACCTTTGCCATTTCCAACAGCCTCAGCTATACATTGAATTTAGTGCCACTTAACAATTTTAGAATGTTACCGAGCAACATTAGCATGTTAGCAGTGTCATTGTGAACATGTTAGCATAATGAATTGTAACTCAGAGCGCAGGCTCTCAGATTTACTAGCAAACTTTTAGTCTTGTTAATGTTTTAATGTGGGAGATGAGAAATCATGTCCTTAAACAGATATGATCATTTTAAACAACCATACTTCATCACCCCAGTAATAAGTACATCACGCTCATGTCGTAAAATCACTTTTTAATGGCTGACTTCTTGCTTCATTAAACAGAAACACTGACATTTGTGAATGCATAGCTATATTAGTTTTGTGTATTTGTTGAGAGCACTAAAGTAGTGAAGGATTAGTCATCTTTGATTGAATATTCTCACTTTGGCCAGAACACTGGGAGCTTGTGTACAAATCATAGCTACCAAGCAGTAATGATGAAGGAACGTCTCCAACTTTTCTCTTACCATTTAATGTATGTCATACACCATGGTTACAGGAAGCTGCAATAATATGTCTTGTACTTCCATTGCTGCTGATGAGTCAAGTGTTCTTTTTCCTCTTTAATCTGGATTTCAGGTGCGAGGTTGAGGTTAGCTGTGTTTGTGTGTGGGTGGACAGCTAAATGCTGCAGGACACTCTACATGAGGAGCTTCCGCAACGCAGTGACGAATATATCACCTTTATTTCACAATGTCAACTCAGTTTATGAAAAAAAAACAAAAAACAAAAAAACAATCATAGCGGGCGGCACAGTGGCTTCAAGAACATGAGTCCAACCTGACACATAAAGCAGCTATTTCCATTTTGAATTATAAAGCATTTCATATCAGTTTTGTTCTAAAGCTATAAAGCATTTCACAGTAGCTGTCTGCATTTTCCTGTTCTGATGATTGAAATCCGTGTATGTCATTGTTTTTCAGGGAGGATTTCTGTGAAAGCCAGAACCATAGGAGAGTAAAATCACTGTAATGTCACTGTAAATGCCAACATTAGTGTGAATGCTCGTTTCAGGTTTGTTGCCTCCATGACGGGAAATGTTTCTTCCAGAGCAGAGATATTGATTTCAGTATCTTTCAAACTCAGCAGCCCGCCTCACTGCATGGGCGGCTCAGACAGGTAATTGCTTTTCCAACAGGTCTTAGATAGAACGATAGACGCTAACAAGATGCAAATACGCAGAAATCAACAAGCATGGGAGAATCATTATCATTATTTTTGTAATATTTTTTTTATTTTGTATTTAACATTGTCTCAGTGAGTTCCTTTTTTTAACGCATACATAATTATACAATAATTGGTCTGTAGCTGCAGTAAACACTTATTTAGAAAGTGCTCTGTCTGTGCCAGTGCAAGGCAATCATGCGTGCAGAATAATGGGCCATCATCTCTGTAAATGTTAGGGGTAATTGTAACCTAAATTGCTGTGAAAATTTTAAAGACTCTCCATCTGTGACATTTGCTTTTATAAAATAATCAATTTATTGTGCACACAAAATAGAAATGTCTGTTCATGTTAGTGCATTCTGCTGACTTGAATGTACTTTCAAAGAGCCCAGAG